TTAGCAAATGAAGACCATGATGCTGATAAAGAATATATATGTAATATACAGATTGTGTATTAATATTGTGAATTAAGTAATTTACCTTGGTAATTTATTCGTATGCAGTCACCTTTTCTTGCCACTTTCTTGCCATTGTCACCAAATTGACTCAATCAAACAGAAAATATAAGTATTAGAGACTGTTCAGAGGAACCACTGTGATTTGTTTATTAAATAGATGCAGAATTTACATGTAACATTTAGATTATAAGACATTAATGTGGGTTACTGAATTTACCTTGCTAATTTATTGGTGTAGGCCTACAGTGATCTTTTTCTTGCCCAATGTCACGATTTTGACTCATACATTGGCATAGACGAACAACAAGAAACAGAAAATTAAAAAATTAGCAAAAAAGGGTGTGATGTAGAAGATATATGTAACATCCAGACGTGAATTACAGTGGCATGTACAAAAACAGAAAAAATTTAAATTTGATAAAAAGAAGAACATGATGCAGATGCAGAATGTATATGTAAGATAAAAATTGTGTATTAATAATGTGAATTAATGAATTTACCTTGGTAATTTATTGGTGTGCAGTGACCTTTTTCTTGCCATTGTCACTAAATTGACTCAATCAAACAGAAAATATAAGTATTAGAGACTGTTTAGAGGAACCAGCATGATATGTTTATTAAATAGGTGCAGAATTTACATGTAATATTTAGATTAAAAGACATTAATGTGGGTTACTGAATTTACCTTGGTGATTGGTTGGTGTACAGTGATCTTTTTCTTGCCCAATGTCACAATTTTGACTCAAACGGTGGCATAGATGAACAACAAGAAACAGAAAAAAAATTAGCAAAAGAAGTTCATGATGCAGATGTAGAATGATGTAACATCCAGATGTGAATTCATGAATTTATCTGGTAATTTACCGGTGTACCTTTTTCTTGCCAATTGTCATGATTTTCTCTGAGTTGACTCAAACAGTAGGATAGATGGACAAAAAAAAACAGAAAAAAGAAAAGTTAGCAAATGAAGACCATGATGCTGATAAAGAATGTATATGTAATATACAGATTGTGTACTCATATTGTGAATTAAGTAATTTACCTTGGTTATTTATTTGTATGCAGTCACCTTTTCATGCCATTTTCTTGCCATTTTCACTAAATGGACTCAATCAAACAGAAAATATAAGTATTAGAGACTGTTCAGAGGAACCATCGTGATTTGTTTATTAAAAAGATGCAGAATTTACATGTAACATTTAGATTATAAGACATTAATGTGGGTTACTGAATTTACCTTGCTAATTTATTGGTGTAGGCCTACAGTGATCTTTTTCTTGCCCAATGTCACGATTTTGACTCATACATTGGCATAGACGAACAACAAGAAACAGAAAATTTAAAAATTAGCAAAAAAGGGTGTGATGTAGAAGATATATGTAACATCCAGACGTGAATTGAAGTGGCATGTACAAAAACAGAAAAAAATCAAATTTGATAAAAAGAAGAACATGATGCAGATGCAGAATGTAAGACATAAATTGTGTATTAGTAATGTGAATTAATGAATTTACCTTGGTAATTTATTGGTGTGCAGTGACCTTTTTCTTGCCATTGTCACTAAATTGACTCAATCAAACAGACAATATAAGTATTAGAGACTGTTTAGAGGAACCAATATGGTATGTTTATTAAATATGTGCAGAATTTACATGTAATATTTAGATTAAAAGACATTAATGTGGGTTACTGAATTTACCTTGGTTATTGGTTGGTGTACAGTGATCTTTTTCTTGCCCAATGTCACAATTTTGACTCAAACGGTGGCATAGATGAACAACAAGAAACAGAAAAAAAAAATTAGCAAAAGAAAGTCATGATGCAGATGTAGAATGATGTAACATCCAGATGTGAATTCATGAATTTATCTGGTAATTTACTGGTGTACCTTTTTCTTGCCAATTGTCATGATTTTCTCTGAGTTGACTCAAACAGTAGCATAGATGGAAAAAAAAAAAAAAAACAGAAAACAGAAAAATTAGCAAATGAAGACCATGATGCTGATAAAGAATGTATATGTAATATACAGATTGTGTATTAATATTGTGAATTAAGTAATTTACCTTGGTAATTTATTCGTATGCAGTCACCTTTTCTTGCCACTTCCTTGCCATTGTCACCAAATTGACTCAATCAAACAGAAAATATAAGTATTAGAGACTGTTTAGAGGAACCAATATGGTATGTTTATTAAATAGGTGCAGAATTTACATGTAATATTTAGATTATAAGACATTAATGTGGGTTACTGAATTTACCTTGGTTATTGGTTGGTGTACAGTGATCTTTTTCTTGCCCAATGTCACAATTTTGACTCAAACGGTGGCATAGATGAACAACAAGAAACAGAAAAAAAAAATTAGCAAAAGAAAGTCATGATGCAGATGTAGAATGATGTAACATCCAGATGTGAATTCATGAATTTATCTGGTAATTTACTGGTGTACCTTTTTCTTGCCAATTGTCATGATTTTCTCTGAGTTGACTCAAACAGTAGCATAGATGGAAAAAAAAAAAAAAAACAGAAAACAGAAAAATTAGCAAATGAAGACCATGATGCTGATAAAGAATGTATATGTAATATACAGATTGTGTATTAATATTGTGAATTAAGTAATTTACCTTGGTAATTTATTCGTATGCAGTCACCTTTTCTTGCCACTTCCTTGTCATTGTCACCAAATTGACTCAATCAAACAGAAAATATAAGTATTAGAGACTGTTCAGAGGAACCAGCGTGATTTGTTTATTAAAAAGATGCAGAATTTACATGTAACGTTTAGATTATAAGACATTAATGTGGTTTACTGAATTTGTTACCTTGGTAATTTATTGGTGTAGGCCTACAGTGATCTTTTTCTTGCCCAATGTCACGATTTTGACTCAAACAGTGGCATAGAAGAACAACAAGAAAAAAAAAACATGATGCAGAAGCAGAATGTATATGTAACATCTAAATTATGTATTAATAATGTGAATTATTGAATTTACCTTGGTTGTAGTTTTGGTGTACCGTGACTGAACTTTCCTGCCCATTGGCGTTGAGGAGACTCAGCAACATATAGGAGCAAGATTAAGAATCATATAAAATAAGTATTAGAGAATTGTTTTTAAGTCTCAGCGCTACAATAATTGTTTTTAATTTTCAGATTATGAACAAATAATGTGGATTGTTAAATTTACCGTGATCATTTATCGGCGTGCAGTGACCCATCTTTGTTGTTCGTTGTCAAGGAGAAACTTCCGTTTCTGACGAGTTAGAATGTTTTTTTACAGTACAACCAAAAATGTTTTTGTTTAAACGCTGTTACTTCGCTCACGCAAAGGAATGTCAGGAAGAATTTCTTTCTGTCATTTATCACGTTAGTGTTTTAGTTAAATCCAAACACAAGAGGGCAGCAAAGAATTACTCACCGTGCTCCTACAACAAAATACAAAATAAAAGTCATAAAATAAGAACATTTGAACCCAACTTCAAAACAGTTTTGTATGAAAATGTGTTTTTAATTTGTTAATTTAATTAATAAGCCACTCTTACAAACAGCAGAAAAATATAAATCAGTCTGTAAATATCTGAGTCAGGAAATAAATGCTTTTATTATTATTATTATTATATAAACAAATTAAACACCACAATCTGTACACAATATGCTTTCAAGGATCACGATAGCGTATATGTTATATATGTTTTACAGGCCTTTGGTTTAAAAAGTTAACTTTTTAAAATAAAGTAAAAGTAATATATTTGTAAAAAGCAGTCAGAAGACCAGGAATCTATTATTAGTTAATTATATTAGTTAAAATAACTGTCTGGCTCAGAGCTTCAAACATCTCTACAATTCAATTATTAAAATGTATTTGCTTGTTTGTATACACATAAAACAACACAAAAAAGCAATTAAATAAAAGTGTATATTAAATAATTAAATGTACTACATTAATTTGTACACACACTGTTGTGTTCAGTGGCAGAAAGATGTTGTGCATAATTATAAATTATAAACCTGTGGAGATCACATCTTTCTGCAATACAAACCTTATTATAAAAAATTGGGACATTTTATAAAATGAAAAATAAAATCAAGAATCTGTGATTTGTCAATTCCATCAACTTAAATTTCATTGATAAAGATACTTTTTGTGAAGATAAGTTTTGTGAGTATAAGTATGTTCCTGTGATGGATGCAAACACACTCAAAAGATAAACTGCTAGCTGGCGAACTGTTAAGGTCTTTGCAAGCAAATCTGGATCATCAAAAAAAAAAAAAAAAAAAAACGACAATCAGAAAACATGAGAGAATCTTCAATAAATAAATAAATAAATTCAGAAACCAAATACAAAATCGCAAAGAATAAGGGTCTTCGTCTCAACTTGCACACATATGTTATTTGAGCTGCTTTTTTGAAATAACCTGTTGAAAAGAACAAGTTTTGTAGAAATGAGTTGAGTTGAGGTTTCAACAGGTTGTTGCTAGAATTAAGGGATACTGTCGCGGGCCGGAAGTTAACGAGAATTATTTATATTTACTAACTCATCCATTAATTGTTTTTTTAACGTCTAACAGTTACCCCAACCATAAACAGAATAATCACAGTAATGTTAAAACAGTAAATATCCAGAACTGTATGCATATTGTTCATTAAATCATTCAATAATTGTATTTTATTAACGTCTATCTAGCCCAACCCCAACCATCACAGTAATGTAAAAACAGTAATTATCCCCAGTTTTATGCATATTATTTTTTTAAATTACTCACTAAATTGTATTTTATTAACGGCGACTCCTACCCTAACTCTAAACCCAAGCCTCACAGCAATGTAAAATAATAAAAATATGGTTTATTGTTGTATGACAAAAAATATGCTATACCGATGTGAGTGTCCCGCTGCTGTAACGTTATGATGACAGCTAAACTTTATGGTAACGTTAGTTTTTCCTGTCATCTGAAGCGGAAGTGTGAACGGTGACTCGTTGCTGAGCAACGATAAACAGCCTAGAAGAGCTTAACCGCCATTCAGCTGTCTTGTTAAGAAGAACTAATGATAAAAAGAATGATAAACATAGCGTCGCTTTAATAAATATATGGGAATAGTTTATTTAGATTGGTTTTGACCAGCATGCCACACCTCGGGAGTTGTAAACACATTTTGTAAGTATCGCTGATTGGCTGTAGGAGCAGCTCCGTTCAGTTTGCTAACAGTTATAACCTAACGTTAATACAAGGACTGAACTATTAACGTTAAAGGTTTTCTTTAAAAACACTTAACGTTGAAGGTTTGCCTGCATTACGATATGATGTTCAATGTTAACGTGTAGTTTGAAAACATAGTTGCCGCTGGTTACTTAGCAACGCTGTCTATTTTCTTTTCTTTTCTTTTCCAGCTGTATAAAGTTGTAGGAATTTCACTAATAAGCTTTTCCTTTGACTGTTTTATAAGACTTCACTGTCCAGGCATAATCCCGAGAAGAAGGACTTTTTAGGAAGAACAGCAGGGAAGTTGGTCATGTATTCTTTTCAGAAAGGGCATCCCAGGAGCCAGAGAGGGCCAGAAGAAGATCACGGCAAACAGAAGTTATGTGGGATGGCTAAGTCTTTACCTGTGGATACAACTGTCCCTCCTTCTCTGGCCCCTGTTGATGTGGAAATGCTGAGATCTAGACTGATCTCAGCTGTGCCCAGACACCCACAGCCGAATGCTGATGCTCTGGTGTTTCCTCACAGAACCAGGGCTCAAGAGAGACAATGGGCCACACAGAAACCAGCACAAGTTGAGATGTTGGTAAGGGCAATAACATCAAACTATATGTATAAATAGTTAGTTAATGTTAAATAATATAATATAATATAATATAATATAATATAATATAATATAATATAATATAATATAATATAATATGGAGACCTTAAATCACCACACAGGAATATGGGTATGTAACACAATTTTACACACAACATGTTTGTTGTGTATCTCTTAAACAAATTTGGATGTGTACAGTCACTAGTATTCAAGTTGTAAGTTACACTGTCTCTTATTTAATGTATGATCATTATTAATATTTTATGATTTTATTTTTAAATGAACTTGGAATGAACGATTTCAAATGTAATAAAAATCATTAAGAATCTACATGAACACAAAAAGTTTCAGCATGCAACTATAAACATATAATGACATTTCTTTATGTTAAACAGTGACAACATTGGCCCAGATAGGATTTAAATATGAACAAAAAAAATAACCATCATGCTTATTTATGTTAGCAATATTGATACATTCCAGTTAGTTGCCTGCATCAAATTAACGATTTGGCCTAAAATCAAAATCTCTATTAATTAAACATTTTAACTCGATTATGGTTAATAAACTATTATTTTATTCATTTATTTATTTATTTTTTTGCCCTCATAGTTTACTGACAAGTTTTGCATAGCAAGTATGCTCATATATTACAAATGACATATTTTTGAATGAAGTGTGCATTACTTGACTTTAAAATAACTGATGACAGGGGTGCCAGTGGCGCCCCCAGAAAATTTTCTTAGGGGTGGCCAGAAGAGGCCGCACCAAATCTTGGGGTGGCACACTAAAAAAATAATGAATTCAGTGTAATGTTATATTTTTGTTTCTGGTAAATGAAATAATGTAGTTTTTATTCATTTAATTAATTCTTCTTGAAGTATTGCAATTTATTCCTTGAAATAATTCAGGAAGTACATGGTCAAATCAAATAAAAATCTATGTTTAGTTTAAAAACACTTTTTATATATATATATATACTGTATAAATAACTTTTTACGTGCTTTTATTGTACATCATACGGTATATGCCAAGTCTAAAATTAATGAAGATTAATGAGTTTATTATTCCTAGTGATGGGTTGCAGCTGGAAGGGCATCCGCTGTGTAAAAATGTGCTAGATAAGTTGGCGGTTCATTCCGTTGTGGTGACCCTGGATTAATAAAGGGACTAAGCCGAAAATAAAATGAAAGAATAATGAGTTTATTAATACCCCAAACAAACGAACAAACTGAACAAAAGGCATTACTATATACACACTCACTATACTTAATAATATCATTTATCCATATTGCTTTTTGAGCCATTTTATTAATGCAGCTTCTTCTATTGATATACTGTACCTTAAGGTAAATATTAAATTGCCATTGCTGTCTATTGAAGGTTTGTGCATGCTATCAACGACGATCGGGGAGGGTAGTGGCGGTTCTAATTTAAATGACACCCTGGCAAACCACCCTATGCACACCCACCTCCCTTGAATTTTTAGATTTGTTATTTAATAAACATAACAATTTATTTATATTTATTCTAATTAAATACAATTAATATTATTATACAATTATTATTCTAAATAAATGACAGAAATCAATCCCAAATATTACTGGAAAACAACAACTGGAGTGATATGCCAAGATCACTTAAGAAACCTTTTGCATGAAAATTAATTATGACAATTCTAAAGAATTATCTGTGGTCTTAGACCAGATCATGGCTGAGAAATCATGTTATGAAGTCTTACCTCCCTGACTCATTATCCATCCTTTCTGCTTTAAAGCCATGCTTAGTGAACGTAACATCATCATCATCATCATCATCATCATATTATATAAACTTTAGTCGACTTTCAAAACTCGCTGCGTGCCGACACCTCTGCACAAAGGGCTGTTACTCCGGTTTCACGGCACATGAGCGGCACCTATTTTATTGGCATGCATGGAAACAACCAACCGGGATTCACACAGGAGTGCGTGAGGCGCGCGGGAATGGTTTTCTGCGCGCATGCGTCAGTTTGCTTTCACCAGCATTAAACCAGAGGGGGAGAGCTACGTCATTAACACCAACAATAATTTAGTGGCTGCATTTTATTTATTTATTTATTTAAATATTGTGAATTTATAAGTACATTTTAAATCAATAATGTCAACAGCAAAATTATATTGGGGTGGCCACAGGGGTGGCCAGAGTTTACCGTGGGGTGGCCGCGGCCACCCCTGGCCACCCCTTGGGGGCGCCCCTGAGGGGTGCCGCTAGGGGGGTGAAAATTAGGACAATTCTAAGGGCCCATACATTTAGGGGGGCCCCAGAGACATTATCAAGGGCCCCAACAACAACCCTCCACCAACCCCCCTCGCTCTTCGCTTTCATCTGCGATCTACCAACCCCCACCCCCGGCGCTCTTCACTTTCATCAGCGATCTGATCCGAATGGATGTTTCCCAGAGATGGGTTGCAGCTATAAGGGCATCTGCTGCATAAAACATATGTTGGATAAGTTGACGGTTCATTCCACTGTGGCAACCCCAGATTAATAAAAGGACTAAGCTGAAAAGAAAATGAATGAATGAATGAATTGCCTAAAATTAACAGTCATGTGTCTCCACACGTGGTAAGGAAATGTATTGAAAAAATCAACCTGAAAATATTAAATGTCGATTTCAATTACTTTCCGATTAATAGCCCGCAGCCTTACATAGACAACATAAACATGAATGTCAAAAATGTTTAAATATGGGTGACATAATGTTCCATCATCAATCAGCATAAAAGATATATTAACATAAAAACTAAATAAAATATAAAACTAAACATTACAATACAAAAACAAAATCATCATGCTAAATATTTTTGTCATTTTTTGTATTTTTCTTTAGCCTGTTCTAAAGAGACGTAGTGGATATATGAAACCGGACAACAACCAGAAGCTGACTCCTAAGATGCCCTTTCAATTTGATGAGGTCCAGTCTATTGATTCTTCTACAGAGAGAGGACCCTCCGTATTACAGCTTCCCAAAATTCCACACTGCATCAAAGATAGACAGGTTTGACTTTAAACTTCTCTGTTCATAGATGTCTGTTGTAACATTAGTAAAACTGTACATGCTTTTTATGTGATCCTTTTAGGTGCAGTTGACTCAGGGCTCACTCAGGATACCCTCCCCACCTAAAAGAGTAAAAAGCTCCTCCAAAAGTTGTCCAGTTCCATCTCTGAGCTACACTCCCTCTCCACCGCTTTCTGGTTCACTGCTGTTTGACTCAGTGGATGAATTAATACGTGCTAAGATTTGCTCCCCACCCCACATCGTCCAAGCCATCCGGACTAACCCTCACCTGGGATTCTTCTATTTGACGTCTTCAGTACCTAAATCGTCAATTAACTTTGACACATATAACCTCAAGTAAGAAATGCAGTATTTGTACACTACCATTTCAAACTCATTTATTTTATTTGATATTTTATTTCATAGCATCAATGCATCAAATATATATATATATATATATATATATATATATATATATATATATATATATATATATATATATATATATATATATATATATATATATATATATATATATATATATATATATATATATATATATATATATATATATATATATATATATATATATATATATATATATATATATATATATATATATTTAAATTGTTGTAAAATTGTTACTTTTTTGTTTTAAATAAACAATGTTCTTTTAAAGTTCATCAAAGATTTTTTTTAACAACATCAGCATATTTGAAGGATTCATATGGTCATGTCATACTGAAGACTAAAGTAATGTAATAAATTAGTTAATTAAAGTATATTACAATACTGAAATATATGTAAAACATCAAATCAAAACATTTAATTTACAAATACAAAAATCTATTTTTGATTTTAAATATTCTTATTAAGTCTTGTTTTTACATATTTCATTAGATCAAGTTTAATATTGAGTGATTTTAATTTGTATTTTGAATGTTTGAGATTGCATAATGTATTTTGTTTTTAACTAAAAGTGATGCGTAAAAAAGTGCTAGTAATACATATAAAGTTTTGACTGTATTTTTAACAAGATATTTACCAGATATACTCTTTCAACAGAATTGCAACATTTGGCAATATCAACAAGTCAGACTACTATACAGTTAGCACTCATGCAGTGACACATTACTGTGGGTCAGAAGTGGACTGTTTGCCTTTAGAGCGTTGGGAGCAGGAGTACCAATTTCACCGAAAGCTGTTGCGGATCCCTGTGTTTGCCCTATTTCGTAAGTGGAAGGCTTTCCGTGTGTGGCGTGCCAATGTACGCTATAAGAAAATCAGCAAATGCAGACGTTCACTACAAGAGAATCTCTTTGTTCTCAATGAGGTTTGTCAACATTTATTTCATTTATGTCAGTATCATGTCCAAAGTTCAACAAAGAAAAATAAAGGATAATAAATATATTTAAGAGAGAAGATTATTGTGTATTTTCATAGCAAAACGCAAAACTTAAAGCATATAATGGCATAAGTTTTTGAAAAAAAATCTTTAGACTGCAATTAAAAAAGCTACTCAAAATCCTGTAGGCATGATTCAGTTTATATGATGCAGACTGAATTTTATGTACAGAAAGAAAACAAAAATGTGGTGAATTTACTTCTTTATTTCAGTCTCTGCGACCGGCACTAATTGACATCAGGGAAATGTGTTACCACATCAGTGACATGCCACTTTGTCGACTAGAGAAAGACCACACATTTACACTGAAGGAGTTTCAGAGCGCACAATACACACAGCTGGAGGAGGTGAGATATTCGGTTTGTGTTTGTGCATATTTGTGTGTGCATATTGGTTATAGTGCACAGTATATTAACAGACACTGACTAATGTGGACAACCACACAAATGTAATATTCACTTTTCAGACATTCCACAATTGATTTATCGATAGGCCCACAGAGAATCTGCTGTAGATTTCTGTCATTTTTTTTATAAATTTACTTATATAATTATGTGTAAATATATATTTATTCAGTTTTTAAACTAATTTCAGTAACTAATATGCAATTTTTTATATAGGTGATTTACAATGAAGTGTGTAAAGAAATATTTTCTGTCATTTAGTAGATCAATTATAAAGTATGGGGCACATGCTTTGTTTACCAAACATTCATTCATTTATTTTCTTTTTCGGCTTAGTCCCTTTATTAATCTGGGGTCGCCACAGCGGAATGAACCGCCAACTTATTCAGCACATGTTTTATGCAGCGGATGCCCTTCCAGCTGCAAGCCATCACTGGGAAACACCCATACACTCTCATTCACACATACACTACGGACAATTTTAGCTTACCCAATTCACGTATAACGCATGTCTTTGGACTTGTGGGGGTAACCGGAGCACCCGGAGGAAACCTACGCGAACGCGGGGGGAACATGCAAACTCCACACAGAAACGCCAATTTTACTTGACGGTTGGTCTCGCACGTCCATCATGTTTATAGTTGATTAACACTTTGTAGTTCTAATTAAATTCACTTCCAATGTGCAGTGTACTGTGGACAATATGAACGGTTCTACACTTAACATTTTTACCAGAAATAGTAAACCATCTGGGAACCTTTGGCATGCTACATCTTTTTCAGCATACTACGATTTGGGACACACAAATTCTATTTTCAAATACTATTTAGGATGGATAATATGTGAAATGGGACGCAATTGGTTCCTACCCATCCTTTTCCAGGTATCAAATCCAATTCCTTTAGGGCTGCAGCTCTGCACAGTTTAGTTCTAACCCTTATTAAACACATCTGATCAAACTAATTAAGTCCTTCAGGCTTGTTTGAAACCTACAGGTAAGTGTGTTGAAGCAGGGTTGCAACTAAAACTCTACACAGCTGCAGCCCTCCATGAACTGGAATTGACACCTGTGCTTTAGTGGATAGGCAATGACATTTGTTTTATATGTCTGAACTAACAACAACAACAACCAAGGGGGCAGGGCTAACTGATGGGCCAGTCCTGTTTTCCAGGTGCATCAACGGGTGTAAAGTACCAATTTGTCAGTTGTTGAATTTTGCCTTGTTTTCAGTGTAGCTGGCTTGTTATTTGTAAGATTTGTAGTCGGAAGAGTCTTTTCTAAGATTTACTTTTACTCATTAGTTTATTGTTTGTGTATCTGAGTTCTAGGTGTCATCCCGTTTGGAGAAGTTCAGAGAGCTGGTAATGGAAGTGGCTAGAAATGCATGTCGAAATGCTTTGAAAGAGTTTGGACACACACCTGATTATGGCGAAGTGGAAACTGGTAATCATTATTTAGATACAAAAACAATTCTGAGTGTTCCAATTAAGTTATAAAAATGTTTTGCAATCTTAATGCTATGAAACGCCACTAGTAGTAACCTTTTTAAAAGAATTACATTCAATGTGCAATTGTAATGCCAAAGAATGTCCAAATAAATAGAAATAATGCGCCTTGAATGATAAATAAACTTTAAATAACCTTTTTTTGTGCTAATGTTTTGAGAGTGATATTAAAAACCACATAGTTTTGAACAAACATTATGTTAGCATTACTGAAAGGACATCTCTAAATAACTTTGGGGGAACCTTGCCAGACTGTGAGCTAAATTCCATGTTACAGTAGCTAGATATTAGGTATATAGGTACAGTTGTTGATGTATAGAGATAATGGGTATATTGTGAATTGGACAGTTTGTGAATTAGATTTTTTTTCTTGCTTGCACCAGATGGCAATGAAGAATTAGCATCACCTGCTTTTAAATTGGTCTTTGAGGACACACCTGAGAAGATGACTTACACGCAGCAAGCCAACAAGAGCTACCACTGCAAACGCCTTACTTGGTTAGTCAACTTCTATAGCATTGCTAGCTCTCAACACAGTGGATTGACTAGACTGATTATTCAGCATATGTTTTTGATTATGGACAATGTAACTGCTAAACTGGCTGATTAACTATTATTTTGAATGAATGTACGCATTGGATAACTTGTTAAAAGATCTATTGACATCTGAAAACACAGTCACATCAGCTTAAGATGAATGAATATACAATATAAAATATTTAAACTTACAAATAAAACTGGTTCTTGGGGAACCAGAAAGGCCAGGCTAGTTCTATTAGGCTATAGAGTTAATAAGTAAAAAGTTTTGTCATTCGGTCATTTATTATTGACCTTTAATTCATCCCAAACTCTTTTTTTTTTTTATTTAAGCACAAAAAGAGGTTTTGAAAAAAAAAAAAAAAATATATATATATATATATTTTTTTTTTTGGAATTAATGTTCAATTACTGCGATTTTTTTGCCAAATGTTTGCTTTGTCTCCATAGTTTCATCAGACTTGCAGATTATCTGATTGTGAACACAACCCACATGCTTGTGGTCAACTCGGTCAGTAAGCTACTAAGAGTTTTTCAGGAGCATATCACACACACCCCTTCACCCGCCCTCATTCAGAGCTGGACGGGTAACGAGATCAGCCATGATACTGATATAAAGGTTAGTATGCTTGTGTGATTATGATCCAGCAATGATGCCGGGTAATGTTGCTGTTATTTTTGAGGGTGGTGATATTTAGGGATCTGTTTGTTTAAAGGTTTTTTAAAGTTTTTTTTTTTTAAAGGTTAAACTCAGAGGTCCTAATTTGAATTGTTGTTTATGTCAAAGGTCAGGAAAAATAATTTAAAACAACATTTAATTTTAATAAACATGCACATAAATTCCATTTAATTAAATGGCTTTTGCATTTCATTAACAAATTTTATGAAATTTTATGCAATACGGAGCAGTCTAATATGAAAATATGCAAAATTTTATCTTTATTTCTACAGTGATTTTAATATAGATTGTGTCAAAGCAGCTTAACATAGATGAAGAAAGATGGTAAAAGCCATAATATTTCAAATTGTCGAGCATTCCAGCAATTCAGGCAGGCAGGAGAGTAGTGTAGAATACTTCTGTAGTTTTAGTACACTAAAACTGTTTCACTTCAGTTTAATATAAAAGTCACTGTTAAAGTTTACTTCAGTTCAGTGTAATGCAAATGTCACTTCTGAAGGCCCATCCACTGAAGAGCAACTCCACCGATGCACAGCTCCACCAGTCCCAGCCAAGCAAGCCAGAGGTGACAGTTGACCAACAAAAAAAAAAAACTCCACCAAAAACTCCACCAATTGACTTAAGTGAACCACAACAGCTGGGTTCTACCATTTTCCTTCTGACCAAATGTCTTGGTGCTGGAGGCTTGACAACGATGGGTGTCCATTGTGGTCGTTTATGTATTACATCAGCTGCATAAACCTTTGTTTCATAGTGGCCTTTTACATTTCCACTCTTTAAGGACCCTATCTAAAATTTGACATGTTAGTTTCAGTTTGTTAGTTTTAAGGAAATATATAATAATAGCTTGTGTGCTCTAAAACAGTGACAACATTCATGTTTAGAAAATATAAAACTTATGCTTCGCCAAAATGGATCAACATTTTTTTCACTTCACCTCATACTTCAGTTTCCTCATCAAATCTTGACCAATCAAATGCTTTATTTTAGAAGTCCTGGTGTAGGTAGTTGTAAATTGTTGCACCTGTAAATTGTTTATTTTGTTCCAAAACAGAGACTATTTGTTGCAATGTTTATATACAAATTCGGTCTTCTGGCATGTTGTGACATTATCATAATTATTGTGAGGTATATGGGCATAGTTACAGTATGAAGCTGACATTCTTGCTGAAAATGATAAATTGCAAATTTTTTATTACATTAAAATGATAAATACAGTTGTTGTTAGAATTATTAGCCCCCCTGAATTATTATCAAAAAATCTTTCTATCTGAAAAAAACAAATAGTACTTTCTCCAGAAGAAAGAATATTATCAGACATACTGTGAACATTTCTTTGCTCTGTTTAACATCATTTCGTAAATATTTAAAAAAGAAAAAAATTCAAAGGGGGCTAATAATTCTCTCTTCAGCTGTATATACAAGTAAGGTTCGGATGTAAGCATACTAATGTCTGATTTCCTGGTTAATGTACTTATTTTTATGTTTCTGGCTTATTATATTTTTTGTCAAGAATTTATTTCACTTAAACTTATACAGTCTGCAACTTGATGGTGATGTCTATTCAATTATTCTTCCAACCAACTATTCTTCTTGCTCAAATTATTAATGACATTTGTAGAGGTTGTAGATTGTTTTTCCTCTTGCAGGCAAACAGAAAGGATTATTTCTGCTATATTTTCCCTTTCATGATGAAAATGCAATTTCAGTTGGGTATAAGCTGGCAAACTAGTGGCCAAATATGCATACAAATATGCATACACATTGGTATTACAACATAAGTGTCATTATGTAATTATAAAATAAGCATACAAAATAGCTTTAAAACCATACTAAACTTGAATAAAAAAAAAAAAAAACGGTCTGGACAGTAAAATCACACATACTGTACAAACCCTGTAAACCTACTAGTATGTGCTTGTGTGTGTGCTACCTCACTAGATAAAAAGTCTTTTAACATTGTCAGTAAAAAACTAAAATTGTGTTTAAATTACCCTTTTTGTGAGGACTATGCTAAGCAATACAAAACATTATTAATCATAAATGCAGTGGAACGCTATCAGATCTTCTAGATAATATAGAAAAAAATGTGTGCGGATACGTAATATATATTACAGGTGACAGCAGAGCAGAATATCAGTGCTTACCACCAGCCAATGTTCATAACTGAGCTGATGCTGGACACACACTCCTTATCATACCAGCCCTCCAATGAAGACTTCCAGGTTTGTGTTTAATTTTTTTACATGCATATTGCTCATGAATATCATATTATTACTTTTTTAGTGTTGTTAGGCTTGTCTGCAGCATGCACTATGTAGGTATGTGCATTCTGGTTTTATTTTTCATGTTTCATGTATTTCTGTGTACATCAAAGATGAGGCTGCAGATGGTTGCCTCTGTGTGGAGCTCTCCAGTTTTTTTTTTTTAACTGTTTGTGTTAGTTTGTCCTGTTTTATGTTTATCATACATGATCAGTTTTGTCTAATTGCATCTCTGTTTAATGGTTGTCACCTTTTCTCATATTTATTTTTGTGTTGTCACTTGACACTGTATGTACACTGGAAGCTTCTGTAGCCAAAACAAATTCCTTGTGTGTGTAAAGTAGACTTAGCAATAAACCCTATTCTGATTCTGATCAGGAGTGTGTAGCAGAGATTATTGGGCAGTTTGAGAAGACAGTTTTGTCTCTGGATACACTGGTGCAAGACACTTACTTTGATGCTTTTACTCAACCCATTATAAACCAAAAGGTAAACAGAGACTTACATTTGCTGTTTTTAGACTGTACACTCTTTTATTGTCTGACTTTGACTGATGTTTGTTGTCTTAACATGTGTATGGTTGTGTGTGTGTGTGTTATTTCACCAGGTTGAGGAGAAAATATGTGGGGATGGTCCTAGTGTGGAGGAAATTCTTGAAGAAGATGCTTATCTGCAAGACATCATTCTTAACATTAAGGTTTTCATTTTATTCTAAGATAATTATTTTTAAAATGCATTAATAAGCTGGGCTCATGCAACAGTTTAACATACGTTTAAATTTAGCATTTTTTTATAGTCATGTTTAACAGAAAAATAGGTAACCAACTTTAACCAACTTATTTAACCCTTCTCAGATCCTCACTTAGAGACTTAAGGCAACAGATATTATTTTGTAACAAAATAATAGATTTTTGGCTCTGGTTTCCCCCACAAGTCCAAAGACACGTGGTATAGGTGAATTGGGTAAGCTAAATTGTGAAATTGTGTAAGCTAAAATTGTATGTGTGTAAATGATTGTGTATGGATGTTTCCCAGTGATGGGTTGCAGCTGGAAGGGCATACGCTGCGTAAAACATTTGCTGAATAAGTTGGCGGTTCATTCCGCTGTAATGACCTCAGATTAATAAAGGGATACGCTGAAAAGAAATAAATGAATGAATAATTGATTTTTGTTTAAAAGTTTAATTTTACTCTAGTCATATTTTTTCACTCCACTTTTATATTTTAAATATATTACAACATGTCTTATATGATATATCATAACTATTTATACTGTTTATAAAATTATTCTTACTGTTTAAAGTTTCATGTCATTTGGACAAAGTGACCTTTTATTTGTTTTTTTATTTTATTTATTTTAGTAAACATGATATGGGTTCAAAAAGACCCCAAGGTCTGGAAGAGGGTTAAATGTATTTTAGTCATGACAGCTCTTGAGTTATAACATGAAGTATGCTAATGACAGGAATGTGATTTCTATTAAGTATTTTTAAAGGGAAAAACCATTTATTTTCAAGTGACAAATTTGTTGTTAAAAATTATTAATCCAAGACTGAAAACTCTGTCATCATTTACTCAGCCTAATATCATTCCAGACATATATGACGTCAGTTCTCTTCACTTCTAATCTTTGGAACACAAATAAAGATAACCTTAATGTTGAAACTTCAAAAAGTACCAAATAATCCATATGCACACAGTGCTTCCCACAGGTTTAAAATATACTTTGCGGTGGTAGCTGGATTAAAACACACTATTTACCCACATCACATAAATAGTTAACTATATACGACAAACAAAACATATTTTCATTTTTAACAACAATTGTATTTATTATGACACTTTCTTTCTTTTCAATGGGTTAAAGTAAAAAAAGACTGAAATAAAAAGAAATACTTTAATGCTTTTCAGGAGCCATATATACCCAAAGATAGGTAAAACCTGCTTCTCTTTTTTAAGTTTAAAGAAAACTTGAATGCCAAAGCATTTTAGTTATGTAATAATATCATTAAATTAACAAAATAATCAGCAAATGTAAAAAAAAAATGGCAGAAAAGTTAGTAAAAACAATTATCATAATCACCAAATTTAAACGAGTAGATTTTTTTTTAATTAAGGCAAATGCGTTGATTAACCATTACTAATTGCGTATTTGCAGCCAGTTTAGATGTCATTTCGTTTTCTCCGAGTATATAGTATAGTTCTTCTGAGTCTTTTAGATTAATGAATCCATTATTTACTTTTTCTCTCGGTATCGCGGCTGTTCGTGCGCTGTAAGCTGTGAAACCAGGTGGAAAGTAGTCTTTAATAAATGAGTATCGCAAAAACGCATACTAACTTAAAAGCAAAATATGAATTCTGGACATTTTAGGAGATTTAGAAACACACGCCGGACTCATTTTTAGTCGCAAAAATTCATGCCTCTGTGGGTCTGAAAAGCAGGTGAAACTGTCTGCACGATTGTTGACAGGTCTTGCGGGCACAGAACAAAACTGGTAAGCGATTTCCCACTACTTAATCAATTGCAAATGTTTGGCTATATTGAGCGGATACAAAAAGTGTAAAAGGATGAAAAAAAAATGTCACTAAATATACTTGGGTGGCCGTTAATATATCTGGGCAGACCACCCAAGTAAAGTCTATGAGTGGGAAGCATTGGCATATGATGAGCAAAGTAAAAAAAATCATATATAAAACACTGATCAAGTTCACATAATTACATCAAAACAGCCCATTAAGGGAAGTTTCACAAATGAATTTCGAGAGGAGAGCATGATTTGATTAAGCACGGCTGGTTTCTCATCCGTAATCAGTAATAATACAATCAGATGGATTCAAGATTACTATAAATAGACTGATTTTACCCTTCTGCCTTATCTTTGTTTTGGAAGAATCCTCCTTCCACCCCATCTCCTCCTTTTACTCTCTTTTCTAAGGGGAGCTCTCAAGACCTACCCAATCTCTGACTCCCTTTATATGCTTATTGACCAGGCGGGAGCCTTGGGCTCAATTATCTCCGAGCTCAGGGTTCTCTCCTAAGACAGCATGCTAAACCTGCTATTAATGCTAAGCATATCTAAGTGTGTACTCTTGAAATTTGGTGAATTGAAGCTCTAGTAATCTTGCTTGGTGCTTGGCTTTCAGTTTTTATCATGTATGGTTTAAAAAAAGAAAATCATAGATTTTTCTAATTGTGAAAATGTTTTATGCTCCTTCCCCATCAGCAATCAATTCAGACTGCATTCGTTACTGCTAACGTATACGCTCGGACATTTGAGCCGTTCAGACTGTTTTACAAAGAGAATGAAGACCTGGACCTGGAGGCTCTCAAAGAGCAAGAGCATGGTAAAAGATCGTAATCATCATGATAATTGCTATCATGTATGACTGCTGAAATCATGACTTATGCTTTGTATGTGTGTATGATGCAGAGGTTGTGTTTTTTGAGAACAGTCTGGATAAATATCATCAAGAGCATAAAGAAGCTTTAGCCATCCAACAGAAGAGACCTCTAGGAATTCTACTGGTGGACACTACAGAACTGAAGCACAGACTTATACCATCTCCTCTGCGCTGCATTGAGGTGGCACACCACTAGAAAACACTATCATAAATTATTTTGTCTGTAATATTTGCATTCTATGGAAGCCTGTTTTTGCCAAATAAAAAGGAACTTACGATTTTCCTTTTATTCTTGAATTTTATTCTCAGAATTCAGACTTTTTCCCTTACAATTTGGAATAAATTTGGAATGTATATTTAGCTAGTAACTGCAAGACATAAAATTATACTTGCGTTTATATCCTACAGTTCTGATTATGTGTCTTGCCATTCAGAATTTGTCTTGAAATTCTGACGTTTTGTCTTGCATTTTGAATAAAAAAAAACCGTGAGGCATAAAAATATAAAAACGATAATAGATTTTTTTCAGTTGTTCATTCTGCTGTGGGAACACCTGATAAAGAAAGGATTTTTTTTTTTTTTTTACAGTTTTGTTGCTTTTATACAATAAAATAGTAATTTCTAATATTGCCATAATTTTGGGATTATCTGCCAATTGTGACTTTTTTTTCCGAGTTGCAAAAGTCAAATTCACAGTTCTGAGAAAACATTGTCAGATAACTCTCAGTGAGATTTAAACTTGTTTTGAGAAATGAGGTTGTAAATTGTGAGATATATACAGTAAATTCAGAACCAAAGTCATAAATGTGAGACAAAACAAATCACAATCCCCTTTTAGATTTGATTTTAATTGTTTGGTGCTACTTTATATTATGTGGCCCTAATTACAATGATGAAATTAATCGTTTAGTACAATGCAATTATTATACACATATAGGCTTTTAGATTGTACTTAATAATAATTTAATATTAACTTAATAACTTAATAACTTAATAATATGTTATTAATATTTAAAAACAACTATCAGCATGTAATTACATGTGTAATTAATTTTGTAATTATATTTATAATTACACTGATGACCCATCCCTTACACATAAACCCCACTTAAATCTACAGTATCCTTACTACCAAACCTGTCCCTAACCTTACTCGTATAGTACGAAAAATATCCTTATAATATGAACAAAATAAATACATTATACTACTGTAAGTGCCTAGTAGTTAAGGCCACTTAATATAAAGTATGGCCATCGTTTTACATTTAATGGCAGAAACAAGCTTCCACTGTGTCCTTGCCTTACTCTGCCTGATACATATTTGATCTCCTTCTCTAGGCTATTAATGATATTCTACCTCGGCTGGCAAAGAAAAAGATGGATGACATCATTGCAGAGGCTCAGGATGCCCAGTTCAAACTGGACTTTGTTCCAACTGTAACCACTGAATATGTTGACTCCCTCAACTTCCTGGATGAAATTCAGAAAAGGGTAAGTTTGTGAGAGTTTTTCTGTAAAAACAATAAATCCACTAGGCAATTAGATATTTGACAAAGGTTTGCTCAGATGTACTACTCTTATCTTTCAATCTTTTTCTGTCAGATCGAGGTGCTTGAAAAGGAGACTGTGACCGTCAGTGAGATGTACAAGTTGATTGAGTGTTACTCTGTCCCCACACCTCCCGAAGATATTGCAGTGTATGCCACGTTGCCACCATGCATAACTGCTGTAAGAAACACCATCGACAAGGCAGTGGGAGAGCGAGACTCTTATGTGGACAAATTTTGCCAACATCTCCAGCAAGACATCGGTCAACTGAACAATACAGTACAGGAAGTGAAAGCGGAGGCAGAGGTAAACACACCACAATAATGTGGTAGGGTTGTTAGAGTGTATTTTTATTTATAATTAATGCATCAGGTAACACTTTACTTGAAGAGGGTGTTTATAAGAGGGTGTTCATGCCCTCCAGGAAGTTTGGTGACCCCTGTTCTAGGCGCAAAGATAGCCTTATTTGAGATGTTTTCATCAAGACAACTTGACATAAACAAATACATTACAACCTGCCTTTGTCTTGACATTTCCAAGATAAAAATTCTGTCAGTGTCTTTGTTGTGACAACTTGACTTTACCAAGACAATATAACTTGTTATAAATCTCATAAGCATGATTGTCTTGAGGCCACTGAAATTGTGCTATGAAATTTATATAACAGCATCCCTGTTATTTTTTTTTTTTTACCTCCACTACAGTGATACAAATAGAATTTGTCATTAAAATATGAATTAATGTTTTAAATTAATTTTGTTCCACTTTGTTCCAGTATGTTTTTTTGTTTTACTTATATATATATATTTTTATATTTCTTTAAAGTTACTAAGCAAAGACTGGTTTTTATTTGAAGTCACAGTAAATAGACCCTCATTATAAAAAATATTATTTTTGTTATTAGATTAGATTAGATTAGATTCAACTTTATTGTCATTACACATGTACAAGTACAATGCAACGAAATGCAGTTTAGGTCTAACCAGCAGTGCAATAGCAGCAAGTGCAGGATACAGGAATAAGTTATAAAGTGCAGTTATAGAAAACTATGGTGATATTTACAGATGGGATGGATGTACTATGAACATTATATACAGGTTGGATAAGCTATGAGCAGATTTACAATATATTAATATATGTGCAGGTTGCTATTAATAATCAGTAGTGTGCAGATAGATAAACATGATTACAAGTGTATATGTTACAATATATGAATATATGTACAGGGATAGATAAACATGATTACATGTGTATATGTTACAATATATGAATATATGTGCAGGTTGCTATTAATAATCAGAAGTGTGCAGATAAATAAACTTGATTACAAGTGTATATGTTACAATATATGAATATATGTACAGGGATAGATAAACATGATCACAAGTGTATATGTTACAACATATGAATGTATGTACAGGTTGCTATTAATAATCAGTAGTATGCAGATAAATAAACATGATTACAAGTGTATATGTATAGTGGGTGTGTACATAATAACAAATGCCCATATGCAGTGGGTATGTACAGTTCAATAAGTAAACAGTTCAAAGTGGTGCAGTGAATGTGCAAATTTTAAACGTGCAAATGTTAAACAGTGCAGTTATTGCGAGGAGTTTAAGTTAGAGGAGAGTGGGGGGTGTATTTGGGGGGAGGGGGGGGTGGGCAAAAGAGTCAGTGGGGGGCAGAGTTCAGGAGGGAGACAGCTCTGGGGAAAAAGCTGTTCCTCAGTCTGCTGGTTTTTGTCCGGGGGAGCCTGAAGCGCCTGCCGGAGGGCAGGAGAGAAAACTGTCTGTGAGCGGGGTGAAAGGTGTCCTTCAGAATACTGCGTGCTCGGCGCAAACAGTGTTTCTTCTGGATGTCCTTTATGGCTGGCAGTGTGGTCCCTGTGATGCGTTGGGCAGTTTTCACCACCCGCTGCAGTGCCTTACGCTCAGCAACAGAGCAGCTTCCATACCAGACTGTGACACAGTTTGTCAGGATGCTCTCTATTGTGCAGCGGTAGAAGTTCACCAAGACGGCTGATGAAAGCTGGTTCTTCTTCAGTTGCCTTAAGAAGAATAGGCGCTGGTGAGCCTTCTTGATCAGGCTGGAGGTGTTGGTGGTCCAGGAAAGGTCCTTTGAGATGTGGGTCCCCAGGAACTTAAAGGATGAGACAGGCTCAACGGCCATCCCACTGATGTGGATGGGATCATGTGAGCCTGTTCGTCCCTTTCTGAAGTCCACAATGAGCTCCTTGGTCTTGTTGGTGTTAAGGAGCAGATTATTGTCGGTGCACCAAGTGGCCAGATGCTGTATCTCCTCCCTGTAGGCCGTCTCATCATTGTTGCTGATTAGACCAATCACTGTGGTGTCATCTGCAAATTTGATGATGGTGTTGGATCTATTAACAGACCTACAGTCAACAGTACAAAGGGAGTAGAGGAAGGGGCTCAGCACACAGCCCTGTGGTACACCTTTGTTGAGTGTGACGGTGGTGGAGCAGATGTGACCTGATCTAACATTCTGAGGTCTGTTAGTCAGAAAGTCCATAATCCAGTTGCAGAGTGATGTGTCGATATCCAGGTCTCTTAGTTTCATTAGTAACTTGGAGGGTATGACAGTGTTGAATGCTGAGCTGAAGTCCACAAACAGCATTCGTGCATAAGTGTTTTTATTGTCCAGGTGTGTGAGTACAGAGTGCAGTGCTATAGAGACTGCATCATCTGTGCTCCTGTTGCTACGGTAGGCAAACTGATGTGGGTCCAGTGTGGATGGCAGAGAGTCTTTTAGATGTGCCAGGACCAACCGCTCGAAGCACTTCATGATGATGGGTGTGAGTGCTACAGGCCGGTAGTCATTCAGGCATGTTGGGCTGGAGTGTTTGGGCATTGGCACAATAAAGGTGGTTTTAAAGCTGTATTACATATAATTAGAAATGTTTATTGATTACAAAAAACATACTAGAATGATTTCTGAAGGTCCGTGTGGCACAAAAAAAATATTATTTAAAGAGTAATTGTTGCATAGTGAAAATTCTGGTTTGCCATAGAAATGTTACATTTTAAAATAGAAAACATTTGTTTAAATTTAGTGATTTAACTGTAATAAAAAAGTGCAGTTTTTAAATAAAGCCTTTGTTAATTTTTGAAAAAAAAAAAAAAAAAAAAAGAATCTTGGCTGACTTCAAACTTTTGAAAGGAATTGCACTGCCTAAAGCACAAGTATCAAACTCTGCAGTTTAGTTCCAACCCTAATTAAAAATTGAGTCCTTTAGGCTTGTTTGAAACCTAGGTAAATTTGAAACAGGTAAGTGTGCTGATGCTGGGTTGGAACTAAACTGTGCAGAGCAGTGGCCCTCTGGCCTAAACTAGTACTGAACTAATAGGATTTTGTCTCTGCAGAACCATCAGCTCCTTGACATTGATGCAGATCGTTCTCACATACGACGGTTGCTTGGAGATATTCAGATCTCTATTGATGAGCTGCAGTCTCAAGCCTTCAAATATAAAACATACCAGAAGAACTTTAAGGTCAGTGTGGCTCTCTCTCCTCTAGAGGGCACATGTTCACTATTTATTTTCATCAGTTTAATTTCTGGCTGATCATCATGAGTTGAGAAAAGTGTTTTATACAAAATGTTTGTTTGTACAGGTGGAGGTGACTAAATATGACACTCTTGAGGAATTGACTGCAGAAGTGAAGCTGAAGCAGTTACTCTGGGACTCTCTTGAGGAATGGGAAAGTCTGGAGAACGGCTGGTTGCAGGTCATTTTTTTAAAAAGCATCTTATTTTATGAGTTTGAATCATTAGATCTTTTTCGTCTTTTACTTAAATTTGCATATTGGTTGTCAATACAACAAAATGTTTTAGAATTATGCCATTTTGAGTACAACAAACTGATCTACAGCTTTAAAAAATGTTTTACAAGAAATAGGTTTCTATCTGATTAAAAAAAATCTGATTCATTTATGACATTTTGAGACAACTGTATAGTACACTCATTAGCTAATTAGGTGTTCAACTACAAGTTCATGCAAAAACATCAACTCAACACTGTGTCATGGCTTCCGGCCATTAAATTAATTTACCACACTCAGTCTTGAGGTTTTCAAACCAGAAAAAGAGACCTTATTAGATACATTATAACAAAGCCAAGATACATGCAGCAGAACTGAACAGCACAATTTGAAATATCTTAAATCTGTGGCCTCTTTATAATGTTTACCCCCAACGTCATGCTTTTCACATCTGGTTTACCATTTGCAAGCTTAGCTTGATGATTTACATTTTATGCCCCCTAGATGGAAGCCCCTCCTCACCTATTCAATATATGCTTGCATTGCAGTTCGACATGTAGTCATTCCTTTATGTGACTTCTGATTGTCTCAAGGGCTCCTTTTCTGTTAAATTCTTATAATTTTCCTCTTAGCCCTTTTCTCTAAGGCCCTTTATTTTCAGGTTATATTTACTTGCTTATACTTGTTCACTATTTACTTTAAAGAATGAAAAACTTCTTCAACTGGTGCTACTCAATGCATTTATGCATTTAAACATTATCAGGACATTCGAGGAACAAAGGTAGCTCTGAAGGCAACAGTTAATTTAACCCTTGTGTACTGTTAAAATTGTGATTGCAAAGCCAAGACAGCATATATTCATGCATTCTTAAATGTTTCTGGGTTTTCCCTGGAAAATGTGTGATTTTTACTGTCACAGTTGACAGCATTAAACCTTTAAATAGGGTTGTGCAAAATAGTTTCTGGATTTTATATGGAGTTATATTGAGTAAAAGAGCAGATTATAGTGTGTGGGGGCTATGTTCTACTACTATGTTACTATGTTCTGAGAGCTGAGCTTCTTATTTTTACTTTGTCAGACTTTCCCTCTCACATCCTCAGACACACACACACACACTGATCACATTAAAAATGTGACCTATACCCAACAGGAAAAACCTGCTCTGATCAGGATTTTTGCAGCCAATACCGAGTACAGATTCCTTGTCATGTTGATCAGCCAATGCCGAGTACCGATTCCTTGTCATGGTTCAGCCGATACCGAGTACTGATTTTAAGTTTTTTAATGCATTAAGCACATTTTCCCTCTAATTATGATACTTAAGTTGAGATCTTGCCTTACCTAAGTGAATAAATTAAGGATGTTGCATATAATCCCTTAAACACATTTCTTTTCATCATTTAGGTGTAATCATATCATGGCCAGAAAGTAACTTAACACAAATATAAAAATTGGTAAAAAAATTTACAAACAATCAGTCCACTCACGTCACAGCACCTCAAAAACTGATAGATAAAATGGTTGCATTTACAACAAAGAGACTATCATTCACGCAAAACGCAACAAAAGACTTTATAAACAGAGGTCACACCGCATCTGTATATATTTTAGCTGTTTTGATACGAGTGAATTGATAGTTCACGCCTCCACACATCATTTACCTCCTCACGTGCTGTGGCTGCTGTAGGCTATGTAAAATATACGGCTGTGCACGTGCATCTTCCTCTGCTTGTAAACTCCTAAACAAGCACCTGTCATCAGTTCATGAGATCAGACAGAATTGGAGCATTACGATTGATCTGAGCATGTCTAATTATATGGTGTCAAGGCTTTGCAATCAAAAAATGTAATTATAATGAAAGTCAATTGGGCAAAAACAGCCACAAACATAACGAAAGGGTAGCCAATTTGCCCAAAGTGTATTGTTGAATTTTTTTTTTACATTTTCCAAATGTTTTTCCATAATATGTGTCAACATATGATTTGTTGTCTTTTGCTGAAATACTGAAAGTTGTGGCCAAATTAAGACTCAAAATGACTCCTGAGTGGATGAAAACATCCGCAACAGCACACAAGATTTAAAGGTGTATCTAATAAAGTTGCCAGTGCTTGTAAATCTCCTCAGAGGGACAGCTAGTGCTTAAATTCTTAACCTGAAGGTTGAAGGCTAGTTATTCTGTACTGAGGAGCAGAAATATAACAGCTAAAGGGTTACTGAGAGACACAGCTAAACTTGTCATAGGTACGTCCTTGAGCAAGTCACTTCACACTAGATAACTTTGGATAAAGTGACTTTGCAAATGGGTATGCTGGAAGCCATTTCGAATTACGGTGTCCTCTAAATGTCACATGGTCAATTATCTCTTTTATATAGGATAAGTTTGATGAGCTGGACCCAGAACTGCTGAGCAAGCAGGTGAACAGGTTTGTCAAATATGTCAGCCAGCTGGAGAAGGGACTGCCACCAAACAATGTGGTGCCCTTCCTCAAAGCAAAAGTGGAGAGCATGAGAGAAAAGGTGGGTGAGGTTCACACTAATGAATGCATGTAACTGCCTGAGGTTGACGACAGTATTTTACATTTTCCCATGGAAAAAAAGATGTCTCAAAGCCATAAAAAATGTAGTAGGCCTACTAGGCATAGAGTACTCTTCTAAATGTACAGTGCATCCGGAAAGTATTCTCCACTTTTTCCACATTTGTTTATGTTACAGCCTTACTCCAAAGTGGATTAAATTCATTTATTTCCTCAAAATTCTACACACAATATGTTGCAAATGTATTACAAATAAAAAATCTGGAAATCACATGTATGTAAATATTCACGGCCTTTGCCGTGAAGCTCTAAATTGAGCTCAGGTACATTCTGTTTCCACTCATCATTCTTGAGGTGATTCAGCAGCTTAATTGGAGTTCACCTGTGGTGAATTCAGTTGTTTGGATATGATTTGAAAAGGCATACACCTGTCTGTATAAGGTCCCAAGATTGACAGTGCATGTCAAAGCACAATCCAAGCATGAAGAAAAAAGAAATTGTCTGTAGACCTTAGAGACAGGATTGTCTCAAGACACAAGGCTGAGAAAGGTTACAGAAAATTTCTGCTGCTCCGAAAGTTCCTATGAGCACAGTGGCCTCCATCATCCGTAGGGGGAAGATGTTGGAATCACCAGGACTCTTCCTTGAGCTGGCTGGCCATGTAAGCTGAGTAATCGGGGGAAAAGGGCCTTAGTCAGAGAGGTGATCAATAACCTGATGGTCACTCTGTCTGAGCTCCAGCGTTCTTCTGTGGAGAGAGGAGAACCTTACAGAAGGACAACGATCTGTGCAGCAATCCACCAATCAGGCCTGTATAGTAGAGCGGCCAGACGGAAGTCACTTCTCTCCAGGAATTTGCCAAAAGGCATCTGAAGGACACTCAGACAATAAGAAACAAAATTCTCTGGTCTGATGAGACTAAAATTGAACTCCTTGTATGAATGCCAGGCGTTATGTTTGGGGAAAACCAGGCACCGCTCATCACCAGGCTAATACCATCCCTACAGTAAAGCATGGTGGTGGCAGCATCTTGCTGTAGGGATGTTTTTCAGCAACAGGGACTGGAAGTCTAGTCACGATAGAGGGAAAGATGGATGCAGCAATGTACAGAAACATCCTAAATGAAAACCTACTTCAAAGTGCTCTTGACCTCAGACTAGGCCAACGGTTTATCTTCCAGCAGGACAATGACCCAAAGTACACGGCCAAAATATCAATGGAGTGGCTTCACAATCACTCTGTGAATGCCCTTGAGTGGCACAGCCAGAACTCAGACCAAAATCCTATTGAACATCTCTGGAGAGATCTGATAATAGCTGTAGACCGTCGCTTACCATCCAACCTGATAGAGCTCGAGAGGTACTGCAAAGAAGAATGGGCAAAAATTCCCAAAGACAGTTGTGCCAAGCTTGTGGCATCATATTCAAAAAGACTTGAAGCTTTAATTGCTGCAAAATGTGCATCAATAAAGTATTCAATTAAATTCAATTAATCTTTTTTTGTTTAGTGCTTTTACAATGTATATTGTGTCAAAGCAGCTTCACATAGAAGATTACAGTGAATTGAAACAGTGTAGTTCAGTTTTCAGAGTATAAGTTCAGTTCAGTTTTAGTTCAGTTTAGATTAGTTCAGTTCAGTTCAATGTGTTTTAATATTGACTGCTGAGAGTCCAAACACTAAAGAGTAATCCATCGATGTACAGCTCTACAAGGCCCGAACTATGCCAGTCAGTGGCAATTGCGGCGAGAAAAAAAAAACTTCACCAATGGAAGAAAAGTGAAGAAAAAAAAAAGACCTTGAGAGAAACCTGGCTGTCAGATCCCCGGCTCGTTCCTGCTCACCCAATCAACATTCTCCCTCACATTACACCTCTATCCAATCCCGTGAACCTTCACCAGACTACTAATCATTTGCACCTGTTTCCCATTACCCAAGGATACTATAAATACATACCTTCTTGATTCACTCATTGGCCGGTATTGAAGTCAGATGGTTGTCTTCACCTTTGCTTCGCCGTCTTCTCACCTTCTTCCATAGATGTTCCTTATGAGTCTTTGAGTCCTACTCACTGATCAAGGGAAGTGATTATTCTTCTGATGTTTATTAGAGGATTAGCTATCACTCTGATGAACTGTGCGCTTGTATACTCCCCTACGGATGATCTTTATCTGCTTACAGATACTTCTCTCCAATCTAGTGGAAAACTTACACTTGTGTAGTGTTCACAGAAGATCCACACCCACCTTGATGAACTGTGTATCTAAGTATTCACCTGCAGTGAGCAATAAGAGTAAACACCTTGTGAGACTGAATGCTTGCATTTGTGTTGTGTTTACCAGAAGATCCACTACCAACTAGACTGTGTATCTGTATACTCTCCCACTGTGTGTACAGTGAGCGAACTTCTAGTGAGATCGAATGCTACATCACTAATACTCGCGTTGCTGTGTATAAAGGTCACTACAGCATATACAACGCTTAATTCCCTTTGTGATAAATGACATTGTTTTGAATAAGACTTGTGAAAAGATAACCACCTCTTTTTTTCCTTGTCTACCAGCGTGACACTGGTTTAGTTGGGCATGACCATTTCTCATATGGCCAGTATTGAGCAAAGGCTGTGAATACTTATGTACATGTCATATTCAGGGTTTTTATTTTTAATAAATTTGCAACAATCTAAATCTTTTTTCACATTGTCATTGTGGGATATTGTGTGCAGAATTTAGAGGAAATTAATTTAATCCATTTTTGAATAAGGCTGTATCATAAAAAAAAAAAAAAATGTGGAAAAAGTGAAGCGCTATAAATACTTTCCAGATGCACTGTATATACTTTATAGGGTGACCATGTCCTTTTTTTCCCGAAACTCTCAGACAACATTCAATCATGTACCATACATACAGAAATATTGGCCAATACGTCTTAAGGCACTGTGATAAAGAGAGAGTGAGAACGTTTTTCTCAGCTGATAAACAATAAAACACTGACAGCCATTTGGAATCCACAAAAAATTAAAGGGCTCGGGCAAATGTAACGATACAGATGACACTGTGGAGAAGCACATGGCTTGATGTCAAGCCCTTTTTTAAAAGATTAAAGATGATGATTATCATAAAAATAATTGGTTATACCATGGGAAAAAATTATAAAAAATACATGGTTATATTCATATTTATTGTTATTGTGCTTGGCGTGAACAGGCCTTTAATTAATCAGCACCAAAGCAAAAGCCAAGAGTGAGAATAGCAGCTTTTACTTGTTGCACATGGTTCCTAAACCTATTGAAAAGAAACAGTGTCATGTTTTATTTGTTTGCTATTTTTCTTTATTTTAATGGTTTAGTGGAAAAGATTATTATATGATGTATTTTTTGCAAACTGAAACATGGTTACCCTAACATTATATAATGTGATATAATTATTATTTATCTATTTTAACTATTTTTATTTTTTATTTTTAGCTGCCATTATCCTTAAGAAATCATTTTAATATGATAATATAATGCTCAAGAAACATTCATAATAGTTTTTGAAAATGCTAAATCGGTTAAATAAGTGATTATCTGATTATCTGATGAATAATATCTTTAAAAAACAATAAAAAACTGAACTCTTATGTACCATACAAACTGATTTCACTATAAATGTTGGTCAAATTAATGTTAAATTAATCAACTTATTGTAAAAAACAAAAAGCAAATCCATACTAGTATGTGTATTTATATAAGCACCCATGTACAGTATTTAACATTCTGCATTTGCATAGTTACCGGTGATCACAGACCTTCGTAACCCATGTCTGAAAGCTCGTCACTGGGAGATGTTGGAAGCAATTGTGGACTCTAAACTACTAGAGGAGGCAAAGACTCTTGCCACCCTGCAAAATATTGATATCTTCCAATTTGGATTTCAAATACAGGAGGTAAGAGAAACATTGAAGCCCTTAAAGAGCCCATATTATACATGAAATAGGGTCATATTTTGGTTGTAAGGGTCTCCAACAACAGTCTAATATGCATGCAAGGTCAAAAACATTTTCATGGTCTTATAATCTGCATTTATTTTTACCTAATTATCCCAGAGACTCCCATATGAATCGTCCAGTGATTAATTTGTTCCCAAACCCCTCCTTAGCGCGAAGCTAATCTGTGCTGATTGGACCGATGACAGTCTGTTGCGATTGGTTGACACTGACGGGCTTCAGCGAGAGACAGAGGGAAATGCCCAGCAGCTAATCAACAATATAGAAGTAGTCATAGTGCATACATGCTCAATAGTGTAAGGCGTGGATTTTAGCTGCCAGTGGGTGAATGTAAATACAGACGATGGACTTAAAATACAGATGACTAACTATTTTATTGAGCAAAAACTCCAAGAACTGGCCTGGAGATCTCCTAGCTTGTCACACTCTGCTCTTTTCACAGACACACACACACACATACACACAAACACACACACACACACACACACACACACACATACATACATACACACACACACACACACACACACACACACACACACACATTTTGCCCTCGTCCTCGCGCATGCGCACACACACACATAACCCTCCTCCGTACGACATCGCGCACACACACACACACACACACACACATATAACCCTCCTCCGGACGACAACGCACACGCGCACACACACACACACACACACACACACACACACACACACACACACACATTACCCTCCTCCACGGAACGTAAACAAAGCGGGTCGCATGTTTCAAATCTTCCGGGTTTGCGCGTACGCGGTGATAACTTCGTTATTACGTCATGGCGAAACACCTAATGACTCGTTATCAAGACGACTCGTTTATAGCTGAATCAACAGTTTTAAACACTGTACACTTACAGATTTAAGCCTTAGCTGGATATTTCACTTCACTTAGAGCTGTGTTACACAATACATGGAAGGGCATTTTCATAATATGGGCTCTTTAACACTCACTGATATACTAAAAACTCTAGGTTTGAGCCACAACCTAACAGGAAGGCGTAAATCAGCATATAGGAACTACAAATTCATTCTTTAACCGGATGTATCCTGTCAAATTTTCAGGTGTCTGGACAAGCCTCAGGAGAAGCATCTCTGGAGAACATTCTCAGAAAGGTGATGCCTACATTTATTATTGTCTTTTAACATTATACATACACGTCTTTGTGTTGAGCTTCACACATACACACTGTTGATAGATTGAGGATTCCTGGAAGACGACAGAGTTTATAGTGCTGCCTCATCGGGACACTAAGGATGTGTTTATTCTTGGTGGAACCGATGACATTCAGGTAAATTAAATTTAGATGTAACTCTCATTCTTTCCAGAATTGAATGAAGAATATACATTTTTTTAATATAAGTAATATTTGTATTTTGCCTGTGTGAATTTTGTAGGTGCTTCTTGATGACAGTATAGTCAACGTTGCAACTGTTGCATCATCCCGTTACGCAGGCCCAATCAAAGCCAGAGTTGACAAATGGCAGAGACAGCTTTTGCTGTTCAACCAGACCTTGGTAATCCAAACTAGAGTTATGAACTTCAAAAAAAATACATTTTATGTCAAATGTTGGCGTGGGTTTCCCCGGGTGCTCCAGTTTCCCCAACAGTCCAAAGACATGCGCTATAGGTAAATTGAATAAACTAAATTGTTCATAGTGTATGTGTGTGAATGGGAGTGTATGAGTGTTTCCCTGTGATGGGTTGCAGCTAGAAGGGTATCCATTGCGTAAAACATGTGCTGGATATATTGGCGGTTCATTCCACTGTGGCGACTGATTAATAAAGGGACTAAGCCGAAAAGAAAATTAATGAATAAATGTCAAACGTTTGGTGCTAAATCAACAAAATGTATGCATTTTCAGTCCTTTGAAAGGATAGTTGCCAAAAATAAAAATTTTCTCACTAGTTACTCACCCTCAAGTAGTTCCAAACATTTATGAGTTTTTTTTTCTGTTGAGCAGAAAAGAACATATTTGGAAGAAAACCTGAAAACCTGTAACCATTGACTTCCATGATAGGAAAAACAACAACTATGGAGGTCAATGCTTACAGGTTTCCAGCATGTTTCATTAACTCTTCTGTGGGGTTCAGCAGAAGAAAAAAACTTATTAAGGTTTGAAACAAGTAAGGGGTGGCAGAATTTTAGAAGGCAGATTTCTGGGTGAACTATCCCTTTAAAGTCATTGTTTTTTTAGTTTTTTGCTTTGTTTTGTTTTATCATAAACTTGATATGAGATGAGATATCATGTTGCTTGGTGTTAAATCTGCTTTTTGTGGTTATCATTGTGTTTGTATGATCATGAAAACAAAACCACACTTTTAAGTTTTTGTCTTGTAATAAATCAACCCTCTTTTATCAGAATTTTTTGTTATCATTCTGTGGTCATTGAAAAAAAACGAATTTTTTTTAAAGGGTCATGAAACCCCCCTCTTTCAGTTCAAGTCTGCTTCATAATTGAAAAAAAAAATGCTTCATGATGGGCATGGAGCGCTGCAAGGGGCGGGAGAAGTGGGCTGGCAGAAAGAGGGAAAAAGAGGGGAGCGATCAACTGTCAGTTGGCTCTGCTGTATCGACCCTGACAACACCACAGAGAAAAACATGCAACAAATCCCGTGAATCATGGAAGCAAACGCATATGACCCTTCATGAACAGAACAGAACTAAATACTGCCAAGCTGTGTGTGGATACGGTCGCACAGCTTGGCAGGTCTGCCTAGCCTTCAGAACAGCGTGCTTTCATAAATAATTGAGAAGTAGTGTCTTCTTATAGCAGGGATGTCCAAACTCGTTCCTGGAGGGCTGGTGTCCCGCACAGTTTAGCTCTAACTTTCCTTAACACCTGCCTGGAAGTTTCTAGTATACCTAGGAAGAGCTTGATTAGCAGGTTCAGGTGTGTTTAATTGGGGTTGGAACTAAAATATGCAGGACACCGGCCCTCTAGAACGAGTTTGGATACCCCTGTCTTATTCACCTTATTCTTTGCCGACGAGTGGGCGCAGCCATTTAAATCTTTTTGGCTCGAGACTTCCGGTCTCATTCACTTCCATTAGTTTTTAGACGTTACAAACTGCTTGTTACGCTGCTTGATCTTGCAAACTGATATTTTCTAATTATATTATTCTACTTGGTCTGTATAGTAATGCAAACATTGGTTTGTAGAGCAAGTAGTTTGCTCTATTTTTTTTCTGCCATTTATTAGTCCTAGTCATTTCTCCCATAGGTGACTGAATTGGAAGTTCTAAAACAATCGCGAAAACAGGTGCACTTCCTCTTTAGAATTTCAAATTCCACTTTAGAATAAGGTCAATAGGATAAGAAAACTCAGGTATGAATAGTAAAGAGAAACCATCATTATTGGACAGGCAGACAGGCCCTTAGTCACCAATTTTGATTTTACCCCAAAAATGATTTTAAACCCGAAAGATGAAATTAGCTGACAAAAGCTCAAAATTTTCTAGTTTTCTCCACAATTAAAGCTAGCAGGTGCTAACGTTGTCTTAACTGATGCTCAACACACAGAAATCTGTTAAAATATAAAAAAAAAAATACTCCAGGGCTTCTTGAACAGTTAAAACTTTTACGTTTGTTATATTTCAACACCACTCTCCCCAACACCACTTTTTTCTTTTTTTCATAAATTCTTTCTCTCTCCTCTGTTGTGATTTTTAGGATGAGTGGTTGCTATGTCAAAGAAGCTGGCTTTATCTTGAGAGTATTTTCAGTGCTCCTGACATTCAGAGGCAGCTGCCTGCTGAGGCTAAGATGTTCCTGCAAGTGGACAAGTCCTGGAAAGAGATCATGAGGAAGGTCAACCGCATGCCAAATGCCCTCCGTGCAGCCACACAAACAGGTCTGGCCTGATGACGCTCAGAAAATATGCACAAAGCACAGACAGTCAAGATGAAATGAACACATTTACATTTAAAAAAATAAACTCAATGTGCACTGTATGAATACAATTGTAGGTAAAGTGCAATAATGAAAAAATGGTGTAAATTATACATACCTTTGAGCAGTGCTGCCCTACTTTGTGTCCTCAGGGATTTTGGATGTTTTTCAAAATAATAATGCACTTCTTGAACGGATACAGAAATGCCTGGAGGCTTACCTAGAATCTAAGAGAGTTATTTTCCCAAGGTGCCTGCACACACTCATGCACTCGTTGCACTTTCTCATCAGAATGCTGATTTCTGTTGATGCTGTGTCATGACTTTACTCCCTTCTCTCGATGGCTTAGGTTCTACTTTCTATCTAATGATGAACTGTTGGAGATTTTGGCTCAGACACGGAACCCTCAGGCTGTGCAGCCTCATCTCAGGAAGTGTTTTGATGCGATATCCCAGTTGGAGTTTGCCACGCTTACACCTACGACACCTGAAGGGGATGACACTGTCGAGAAAATACAGTATACTAATGACATCTTATCCATGGTATCTCCAGAGGGAGAAAAGGTCAAGTCTCTATTCTTTTTCTTTTTGTTTATTAATATAAAAATATGTTCAGTGATAATATTCAAAACGTATAAAGAGTAAAAAAGTAAATAATTAACTGCCTTTTGTTGTTTATTTTGTACTGTTTCTGGGGGTCTACTTTTTATCACAATTTGGAAGCAATAGGCTATTTTTTATTGTGTGAACACATACATGGTCATGTCCACTGTTATGACTGACAATTTGTATAATTCTTTCTTCTTTTTTTTAAAAGGACAGCTGCTTTGATTAGCTGTTTTAAAAAGGGGACAAGCTACTATATGCCCTGCCCTGTCTCTATCACACACTGAACTAAAATTCTTGATGGAAATGCTATGTGGAAACTTCCACTATGGGATTTTTGTCAAAATCCAATCATCTGAAAGAGTATATAAACAGGTCAATCAAATGCCAATGAGTTGGCAATGTCAGCGTGCACAGGTTACGCTACTTACAATCAATTTGGAAATATAAACGCAGGGCTTGCCAAGCTGAGCATCCTTTTCTAGCTGAAGAGGTTTTTATGCCCAACAGCTAAGGGGCAATCATTGTGGCGAAGGAACATACCATTTCCGTTCCCCCCCCTCGGGGAACGAGGGTTACTTTGGTAACCAGAGTGTACCCCTTCGTGAGGGGAACTTCAATGCTATTTGGAAAATTCCACTGTGAGAAAATGTATGAAAATGCCACAATGATTGAAACTATCTTGCCCCCGGTGAGAGGTTATACCAAGCCAAGAGTGTGAGCACACCTGCATCATCAGAGGTTAGGTCTTCTAATGTGAGTTTAACAGAAGAGACCTGGTGGCAAGAAGACATATGTATTTGCCCTGAGAAGATGGTTAGCGGTGAGAGAAGACACAGGTCCGTCTGGGAGGGGAACCTATATCCAGAACGCTTGCTGACCAGCAGGCATGCTAACAATGTAACCGGCCAACACCTGACTCCTCTGTTGAGTCAAATGCTTGGGGCCTTGGAGGAATCTTTGCAGGGTTTGCCAAGTGAGGAACTTACTGAGCGAGAAATGGCACGTATCTCTGTGTTAGAGAGAAAGGTGCAGCAAGCATTTTACAACACCTAACCAAATTTCCTCATTCACCAGGGTTTCCCAGCACACGAGAGAAAATTGGCTCCCCTCAAGATTAAAAAATCTCGCAATATATTAGGTATCATCCAGCCAGCAGCTCTACAATGTCTGTTAGAGAGGCGCCACGTGCTAATGCCCAAAAAGATACACGCTCCCAGTGGAATGCGCTCTCCCATAGCTTGTGAGCCATTGGCGAAGTGCACCAATCCTGCGAGCTGGAAGGCATCGCGTCCCAGACTGGCAGTGTTCGGACTATCACATCTGGGGAAGAGAAAAAATGCTCTTTCATTGAGAGTTGTGAGGCCCGGATAAATTCCCCGTTTCCTCAGTTGTTTGTGTTGTGACAAAATCAACCCAGTCTCATTCTGAAAACGTAGGAGTTACGTATTTGTGCAGTTTTTGTTTTCCCGAATCCACGAGAGGCCGCTGTGTGCGCTTTTTCGTATCTCGAATGTCTCTGGCGAGTGCCGTTCGCGCCCGCGCTGTTCTGGAGTCAACTTACCAGAGGCCGCTGTCTGACTGACCGAATGATTGACTGCGCGACCGGCCAATCGGCTGACCCACCCTCCTCCTTCCCTAAACCCAACCAGTTTTACCGATTGACCTGCCCGCCCGCTCACTTCCCTAAACCCGAGCAACAATTTAGAAAAGCCTTTTAGAAAAGTCTAGAAAAAGAAAAGCCCTCGTCCGTTTTTTTCACCACATTTTTGGATTTCACCACGTTCTCACCCTGTTATGAACTCTTTCACTTTATTTTTTGGATTCTGTTTTTGTCTTACCTGATTTCTGGAACCGCTCTTCCCCGGCCTTGAACCCGCTCGCCGTGGTCAACTCCTCCTCTCTGCATCTGAAGTCCGCCGACACACACGATGAGCTGACTGGAATAACTGATTGCAGCGGGAAAGCCCTCCACACGGAGGTAAGCGGTCAGCCGGTAAGCGTGAAAGGGAACGGCGTCACACGCCCCGTAGCGTTCGCTTAAAAAAATTAAATCCACATCCACGGGACTACGTTTTCAAAATGAGCCTGGGCTGGACAAAATGCAGCACGTTTCTTCAGTTGTTTGTGCTGTGGCAAAATGTTTCTTAAGCTGTTTGTGTTGTGAGAATATGCAACACTTGTGCCGTCAAATGGATCAAGATTGTTTCTTAATTTGCTGAGTTTTTTGTAATTACATGTGTTTTCTTAAATTGTAGCGCATTAAGTTCTCTCAGCCACCATATAAATGATAGTATTTCAGTGTTAAACAAGCTATCAAACTTTTTCCTCAGAATATTATATTATACTACAAAAACAATAATGATTAGCATCTGATATATTGTTATGACGTATGTATGCAAACATATATAATTTACCACACTTGTAAAGTGCTGGAAAAGTTTGAAATGCACCTGGAAAGTGCTTGAAAAGTGCTTAAATTGGACTTTTGACAGTTTTTTTTTTAAGTCCAACAAATAATTTTTCCTTGTTTGTGAATTATTTCAAGGTAAAATAATGTCAACAAAACACCACATTTTTGCTAAAGAACTTTAAACATAAGGATCATCCACTCTTTCCTAGTGATGGGATCAGAAGGAAAGCAATGCAAATTTTCGTTTTGGTTTTAGTTTTGTTGTTTTTGGTTACATACTTCCAGACCTGCATTCAACTCTCTCATTATTTATCATTCGGCATGTATGAATCAGTAGGCTGGGCTGAAAACATTGCGATGTAGGAGAAGCAGGCATTGTTCTTTTTTGTGGAGGCAGTGTTTAACCATAATATTATGTAATAAAGTGGCACATTCCATAACACTTTGAGTTTTAACAAAGCTTCATGACCCTTTAAAAATGGGTGTGTTTGTACTGTAGGTGGTATTGGGCAAAGGACTGAAGGCTCGTGGAAATGTAGAGGACTGGTTGGGAAAGGTGGAGGAGGCCATGTTCTCTTCTCTTAGAAGACTCAGTAAGGCTGCAATTGCCGACTATCAGAGCAAACCCAGAGTTGAGTGGGTTGTGGCTGGACATCCATCACAGGTTTGTCCTCAAATTGGTGTTTGTGTGTGTCTCTGTGGCAGGCAAGTGTAGCTAGATGTTCATGATAGTGAGAACAACACAATTCGCATGTAATCTCATCTTTCAATTCCGATTTATTTGTGATCAGCTGCTAAATTTAAGTATGTATTTCCATGAGGGGAAGCACTTTTTTTTAGGTTTCAGATACATTAGTACTAGCAAATACACATTAGTACTAGCAAAACAACCATTTATAGTTCATAAAATTCATTGCTGTTGTCTGCAAAAATGTCAATAATTATCATATTAAAAATAATCTGGAAACATGTGTACATACTGTAATTAGAAAGTTCATGCTGTGTGTAGTTGTTTTTGTTTTGCACATATGGGCCAGTTTAGGATCATGATCAGTTCACACTGGAAATCTGATTTTGGCCACATTTAAAACAATGTGAACAGCAATGAAAAAAAATCTGATCTGAGGAAAAAAAATAAAAATTGAGCACTAAGCACTAAGCTTGCATTGTGTATGAACATCTCACCTGTTTTTTTCTGCAGGTGGTGTTGACCATCTCTCAGCTCATGTGGTGCAGGGACATGGACAACTGCCTAGAAGGAGAACATGACCATTTTCAAGCGCTACAAGAGTTTGAGATCACTAACTTTGAGGTGACATTATATTCTTGAATCTTATTTTACACAGGTATGTTTTGGCAGTCAAAATATATTGTAGGTGATAAAGTTATCCTTTTTTTTGCTATCCAAAATCATTTATTTAAAGATCATATTCCATGAACATATTTTGTGAATTTCCTACTGCACATCAAAACTTAAAACTCAATTTTAGATTAGTAATATGCATTGCTAAGAATTTAATTTCTGCACATTTAAACGTGTTTTTCTCAGTATTTAGATTTTTTAAATCCTCAGATTCCAGATGTTTAGATAGTAGTATCTCAGTAGCATTCAAACATTGTCTTATCCTAAGACATTAAACATCAATAGAAAGCTTCTTCAACTTTTAGATAATGCTTAAATCTGAATTTGCAAACAAATGACACTTTTGATGTGTTTTATGTGGATTTGTTTATTCATTTATAGTTCCTTGGGAGTAATTGCTACTAAACGAAAATTACTGTACACTCACTGTCCACTTTATTTGGTGCACTTTATTGCTTTCAAATATTTGTTCAATCAAATCACATGGTGGCAATGTTGATTTGCACACAATTATAGCTGCCTGTACTTGAGAAATGTGAATAATTTGACTTTGAATGTAGCATAGCTGTGAGTATTTCAGGAAATACTGATCTATTGGATTTTTGAAGCACAAGAATCTCTAGATTTTAGAGTGAATGGTAGCAAAAATGCCAAGTGAAGAATTGCCCGACATAAGAAGCATGTGTAGTTGTAAAATCTGTAGGAACTGTATGATGTTGTTCAAAAGCTGTGAGGATTGTTTTTTGATGTTTTTATTTTCTGTTGAATGTGAACAAAAGATGGTCCAACTCAATACTAGCAAGGTATACCAATAAAGTGGCACATGACTCAAGTGTATTTATGTATGTGTATGTCTGTCTGTATTCATCTGTGGGTGTGTGTTTAAACAGAGACTGAATGCTCTTGCTGCTTTGGTCCGTGGGAATTTGCCTAGTCTTCATCGGAACATCATCACAGCTCTCATCACCATAGATGTGCATGCCAGAGATATCGTCACAGATCTCGTCAAAGAGCAGGTATGTGCATTTCCTTCAGGGACCGAGATCCAAGGTCTTTGAATCTACATTCTTTAGTTCTCCAGAATGCATATATTTTCTGTATATCTCCAGAGGTTACTGTATGATTTTGAGAAAGATTTTTCATTCATAAAGACATTTAAGGGACTCATACACAACTATTACTAAAGGTGAAAATATAAAAAATATTGATAAGACTTTAGTTTAAGTAACACCTCACACCATTTACTGACTTATTTCCTGCCTTTGAGATATGAACTGTTTTTTAGCACTTCTAAAGCATGATATTATTTTATTTACATTATATTATTTTACATCCCTAATCCCACCTGCTAATACCTAAGCCTAACTAATACCTTACTAACTAATAATAAGTAGCTTACTAGTTGTTTAATTAGCTTAAAGTATTTGTTAATGCTTTGTTAAAGGGGTGGTCCAAAATGTTTTTTTAAAGGGCCATGAAACCCCCCTGTTTCACTGGGGTGTTTTCAAACCTCTACTTTGGAAAACGTCAGGAAAGTGGGCGTGTCCAGCTCTGTATAGGTGGTAGTGCCGGAGGAGGGAAAAGGGGAATGTGCATAACAATTTGCATAAAAATGGGAGTGTTGGTTTGGCCACGCGATGATTTTCACAGAGGCAAAACAAACACACAGACGCAGGGCAGAAAGACAGTGACTGTAACTGTGTTTATACGGACATCAGTAATCAAATTATTTGACAAATTATTAAATAATGGACTTTAACTCCAGTTTGGCTCCTTCATTCAGGAATTTCATTCATGCCCCTCGTGACAAATAAGATATTTGATTCGAGGATTTGCTGGAAGAGTGTATTTTTAATGCAATGTTTGATACCACACGACGAATGAGAGAAAAAAAACCCTCTGCATTTCTCTGTAACTCGGCAGGTGTAAGCACTCGGCAGGTAGCGTCAGAAAGCCGAGTGTGTATAGACTATCCAGTCACAAAATGTGGCAAAAAATCCTACGCAACGATAATAGTTTGATTGCGGTGTTTACATGTTTACACATTCAGTCCATAATATTGTAATGATATTAACGTGCTGTAAACTTTAGTAACTTAGAAATCATTTGATCAAGGTCTGTCTTTAAACACTGAATGAGTACTGCTGATGATACGAAATAACTTTGCCATCTGAATTAACAAACAAAGACCACTGATCGCTCACTTACCAAATCTGTAGAGACAGGACAATCAACACCAACTGGAACTGCATCTTTATTAAAAGGAGATGAGCAGCAAATCCAGATTTCACCGTTTCCAGGTGAGAAAAGGTCTCGGGTAAAAAAAGTTCCTTAGACATGTATTTCTGATGTGCGTTGCATGCACTGTAATCCACATGTGAGTCCAGCTGTGCTCTCATAGTGGGACAATGAAAACAAAACCTTTTTATAAATTATAATTATAAATTTATAATTATAAATTATAAAAGCAACACTGACGACCCGTATCTCCAAACAATTCTTCTCCTACTTGTTTAGGCAACACAACGTGGTGTCTCTCTGCCATCTGAACACTGTACAGGTACAAACTGTCTTCAAAGCTATCATGCATATTAATGAAGTTGCACTTCATACACAATAGAGCATGCTGATTGGTTTAAACCAAGTCTTTTCTATGAATGAATGCAGCACACTCAGAGACATCACGATGCATTCGCAGGTACAGACAGCCAGTCTACACGCTGGAATACACAAAAGTACCTAATCAGCATGACGCAGCTTCAAAAACTTTTTTTAAACCGGAAGAACGGATTTGCTTGAAATAACGCAAAAACAACCAATTTTCACATTTTTTGTGAAATATATATGTCCTAATAGTGTTTTTAGCAGCGTGGGACACAATGTGTTTTGGTGTTTCGTGACCCTTTAAGGCTTGGTTGTGATTATAAGATGCAAAGCAATGTGTGCTCATGCTTCATTTGTAGAAAATCACAATATTTTTTTTCGTATATCTTACATATATTATATTATTCTTATATCTTTTCGTATTATATACTGCTACTCAACTAACATGAAAACAAAGGTCATGTTTCCTATTTCCTCCTATAGGCTCTGATTGGTCAGCTAACATAATGTGATGTGATTTGCGGATTGGCTCCACGTCATGCCTCTACAAGTATAAACTTTTGTGCTGTGTAAACAGTACAGTCAGAGCAGTTGTTAGTAGTCTTGGCTGCCTAAAAATTGAGAGCACAGAGCTGAACCTTGCGCCTGCTCTCTAAAATAAAATCTGACAAGTGTATATCACATAAATTCAAAACAAGCATGTGTAAGTAATATGAAACGTTCACATACCTTATGTGATCTTTTGTTTGTTATTTGAGATGTAGAACGCAGGGAAAGTGGTTGCATCGAGAGACACAGCAGTGCAGCTGAAGATTGTGGGTGTTTACAGCAATTTTGACTAAAAAATATGAATTTGTGGCTAAACTGTTAACGGTGTCAAACAGCATTTCCTGTTTACCTTCTTGCTTATGTCCTTGCTACAACATATCGTTAACTCTGGAAACTATGCATGAAGTTGATGAATTTAACAAATAAAAATACTCACAATCCACAGCTAGGTCGGTTGAAGGAGTTTTTAGCCAAATCCAGCACTGGAAGTGATTCTGGAAGCTGTCCTTTGTCAAATGCTAGAGCTATATCTTTTTTTTTTTAATAATTCTCTGGAACATAATTAAAATTTAATTGTAAAAAAATTTCTCTTTGTGTTGTGTCCTTTGGAAGCCCAAATACAGAAACAGAAGAAGCTCTATGGAAATAGCAGTGACATTTTAGCTTTCTCTGCTATAACAATAAAGCAGAGAGGTGTGCAGGGTGTGTGTGCGAGGTGAATGCACTTAACCGGAAGCGCTTTTGATCTCACTAGCCCAGATATCTTTTTTTGTAGTCCTAAATTTGTTCGCTGTAGGTTTTTCTAAGGTAACTCTGTAAAAGCCAATGTCTCTCTTTGCATTGAACTTTTAGCATTTTACATTCAGAGATGTTGTTTATGTTCACACAGCTACATTACACATGAACTAAAGTTTAAAATATTGTGAATTGTACATAAAGCTTAACATTAAGTTTAAAAACTTAACATTAATACAGTATGACAAAAAAATTGTATTTAGCTAAAGGGCAGTTTGATGTGATCTGTAATCAAACAAATAAAGAAATTTACATATCATCATCCTGTTAAAAAGTTAACACCCTCTTTCATCATCAGTGAAAAAAGTGAATTTAATTTAAGGTTATTGTTACACATGTTATGTGTATTTACCATGTGTGTAATTATAATAAATTATGAATAATTACATGCAACTAACCCCTAAACTTACCCACAGTATAATCTTAACGCATGCAATTATGTAATGTTATTCAGTACCTAAATAAATTGGAGTGTACAAGGATATCTTAAAATAAAGTGTCCAAAAGTGTAAATGTAAAATGTGAATGTAAAATGTAAAAATGATACAATCATCCTTTGTAAATTATCCAGGAAACATCACATAGTATTAAGATTTAGGTGTATTCAAGTGTATGTAATTTTTATGAGTTTATTTATTGCATTGTCTTGTGTTGCGTATGTTAACATATTATGTGAAATATTTTATCCAAGATTGTACTAAATAAAAATAACATGCAATTTATATAATCCCAATTTTATGAGCAGAGCTGCCTTTATTGTTTCTTCAACAGCATCAATTGTACCCTGCTTTGTAACCTAAACATTTCAGTACCACTGCATTGAGTAATGGAAATGTCAATGTATTCTGTGTTTGTAGGTGGATTCTAGCGATAATTTCGAGTGGCAGAGGCAGTTGCGATATTATTGGGATGTGGATCTGGATGATTGTGTGGCCCGGATGGCACTTTCTCAATATATTTATGGATATGAATATTTGGGAGCATGTCCCCGTCTAGTAATCACTCCACTGACGGTACACATTCATTTAAATTTTTTTTTTTCCTTATGATGGTAAGGGATTTGTCAAATGCATTATATAAAATACATTTATATTTTAGTCTGTATAAAAAAATTTGCAATCTGAAGAATAATGGTTTGGCATAAAGTAAAAAAAAAAGTTAACATACTGAATGGTTGTCCATTCAAGCAATTCACTTCTTGTTGATTAATAGAATAAATATCTTGGTTTGTTTTTCAGTTTATTGATCATTTTCTGATAATCCAAATCCAGATTCTGATATTGGATCTTATATTTTTACGTCATGCATAAGAACTGTTTAACTACATATACTAAAACTTAAAAACTACTAAAAAACTAAGTTAAAACTACATATATTAAAGTGCATATCAGTGTATGGATAATCTATATTAATGTAGTGTGCATTTGCATTATCATTGTTATGTTTACTCATTTTTATCATAGGATCGCTGTTACCTCTGCCTAATGGGAGCGCTGCAGCTGGATCTCGGAGGAGCTCCTGCAGGTCCAGCAGGCACAGGCAAAACTGAGACCACAAAAGACCTTGCAAAGGCTCTGGCAATCCAATGTGTGGTGTTTAACTGCTCAGATGTACTTGACTATAAGGTGCCTCTCTGTCTTCATGATGAATTTGTTAAGCAACTAGACACTAAAACAAGATTTTCCTGTTCAGTGTAAACATTTCTTTTATTACACTGAAATGAACTAAACTGAACTGTGAAAACTGGACCGAAGCAGTTTACTAGAATGTCATTTATGTTAAGCTGCTTTGACACAATCTACATTGCAAAAGTGCTATAGAAATAATGATGAAATGAAAATATGAACCCTACCGTACTAGAGTGAAAAAATTCCTCTGTCACTAGGAGGCAGCACAGCCCCAACTGAATTCTTTCTACATTACATGAAACCCACTGTAGATCTCAATTCTGAGAGTTTTACCTTGCATGCTGTCCTTATTTATGGCCAGTGTTTAGTGTTTGCTTGGGGAGTCATACAGAATATCATAAAGGTTTTTTAAGATTCTGACTGGACTTTAAAATAGGCATAGTCTTTGTACACTGTTTGTCTTTTTTATGCTGTCACTACATTATATTATAATATAGATTTTTTATGTACTGTAGACTAATCCTTTCTCTGGAGGTTTGCTATAGGCTGGGGGGGGGGGGGGGGGGGGGGGGTGATATTGCTGCTCAGTGCATGTGATCACGTGAGAATGACATACTGTAGATCAGTGTATAGCTTTTAAATCAGCACAGGGCTGCAGACTAACATTTGAGAGCACTTTCACTGGTGCTTTAGTACTACAGAGGGGTCACCGAAACATGATTTGGCAGCACTGAGCACATTATATTAAGAATAGTTCAAGTCATGTATCTTAAAATAAACATTTGAGAGCAGCATGAATGGGATCCAGATGTAAATGTATTAATCAGTGCATATAAATAGCAAAAACAGTACCATCTGTGAAAATAGTAACAGCCTTATATTTGCGCAATTGTAAACATTATGCACAAATATACTGTAACAACCTCACATCATAGTAAAAAATAACCTATCTTCATGCTTTATGACATTTGTTATGAATAACAAAAAAAAAAAAAAAACACAACTAATGTGAATTATTTAGATAAATATAGTAATCACATTACTTTTTTATTAAGCATTTTATGCATAACATAAAATTTAATATGAATATCCCACATTTCTGCCTGTTAGTGTTGCTACAGTAAAACTGCGGTAATAGTTAGTGAATTGTGGAACAAAAAGCCTTATAACCTAAACATTATTGCCATTTCAGTTTTTTTTTTTTTTTTTTTTGCCGAACTACTACTAAAACTTACTAAAACTACTCTACTTGAGTCCACATATGCATAGGAAAGCTATGCAAATGAATGCAGTGGAATGTAAAAACATAGCTCATGTGAACATGTCTTCTTAATTTATGCATTATCTGTAATTTATCTGTAAAATTATTGGTTGTATTCTTTTTTTGGCAGAGTTAGAGTTAAATTACAAGCTGTATTTGTTTGTCTCAGCCCTGTTGTACAATATATAGTACTCTATTTTCATTTAAACCTCTAAAGGCCCATCCACACCAAGCGCAATAACTATGAAGAATAGAATAAAATATAAGGGTGGAGTTAAAAAACAATGTATGAATGTAAAACAACAGCAGATTTCTAACCACAGCTATAACAGTAATGATGTAGAGAGACTCTATCCTTGGAATCACTTTCAGAATGATATTGCCCCGCTATTAAATAGAAAAACACTGACAGCCAGTCAGAATTCGTTGAAGTACTGTATACAGGTCATCGTCTTTTCAAATATTATTTAAAGATAATGACCTAATGATCCAGAAAGCAGTATTTGACCATTATAACCAATTATTGCTTAGACCATGGGAAAAAAATTATAAAAATACATGAAAGTTATGCAAGCCAGGATAGCAAATGAAAGCATAAAAATTAACTTACCTCAAATATCCAATATTAGTTTAAGCTTTATGTTTCATTCTTTGAAAAATATAAGGAAAATAGTTGAGAATGTAGGCAAAATAAATGAATGTTGTTTTTATTACACTACACTGCCTGAGGTTGCTATATTCAATTGGCAAGATTAAACTTTAGGTAAGTTTTAAATAAAGATTCGCTATTCATATGCGCTAGTAGCACACTGAGGACATCTGCTGGTTACAGGGTGGTAATGCCGAATTAAAAGCATTGTGTGTGTGGATGCAAATATATTTATATTTCAATAGATACTTATAGTTATTGTGCTTGGTATGAAAGTCATTTAGAGTGTTAAGTATTCAGCTTGGTTAAAGTTTTAAATGGTAATTGTGTGTTTAGATGATGGGGACATTCTTCAGCGGTTTGGCTCAGTCAGGTGCCTGGTGCTGCTTTGATGAGTTCAATCGCATTAACATCGAAGTGCTGTCAGTCATTGCTCAACAACTTATCACTATTAGAAATGCCAAGGCAGCCAAGGTAAAGCACTTCCACACACACGTGCATGTTTAAACCCCATATGCTGCTCACACCAAATAATTTCCACCTGATTTTTCTTAATGTGTTTGTGTTCTTCAGCTGAGTCGATTCATGTTTGAGGGGAGAGAGATAAAATTGGTGATGACATGTGCAGCTTTCATCACCATGAACCCTGGTTACGCTGGCAGAACTGAACTCCCTGACAACCTGAAAGCTCTTTTCCGACCTATCGCCATGATGGTGCCCAACTATGCACTCATCGCTGAGGTGTGTAATTAAACCAGCAGATCTGATCGCAGAAATGATGATAAAACACACTAGGTGAGAGACAGAGAGGTCAGAGATAGTGCGGCTCATGTGTGCTCTTATTAAAAGCTATTTTCTGGTCATGTGTGTGTTAAGGCTACTCCACACTGCACTGACCGATGCTGAACAATGCCAACAGACAAATTTGATGGGTTTGGTTACAGTAGATCATTGCCTCTTTTGGCAGTGAACTGCACTTCATGCATATTCCTCATTTTGGGTTGGGAAATTTCTGAAAGTGACATTGTAATCTTGTGATCGTTGCTGTATTGTGAATGGACCTTTTTACGTTATTACATGTCTAATGGGCATCAGCATCTTAAATCTAAGTTTTTGATATTTATATAAAACAAAAATTTATACATTATAGGCGTCTATAATGCAGTGTCTATAGACAGGACCGTAAATTTGACATTGATCTCTCTTCTGGCTGCCATTATCAGTCTTACACAATTTTTTTTCCTTTTTCTGAAAGTCTTGAAACACTATTGTTAAGTTTTTCCTTTATGATTTCAGCAAATAGGATTGTAAAAAAAAATACTTGTTGTATTCTCCTATACACTGCGCTCTAAGTTTACCCAACTATAACGACTTTCGCTGCAAAAAAATCGGTACATTAACCTAAACTTGCAGGAAACTACCACTTTTCTTTGAGATATATATATATATATATATATATATATATATATATATATATATATATATATATATGTCCGGTTTCCCCCACAGTCCTAAGACGTGGTATAGGTGAATTGGGTATGCAAAAATTGACAGTAGTGTATGTGTGTGAATAGGTGTGTATGGATGTTTCCCAGTGATGGGTTGCAGCTGGAAGGGTATCCGGTGCGTAAAATAAATTCTGGATAAGTTGGCGGTTCATTCCGTTGTGGTGACCCCAGATTAATAATGGGACTAGGCTGAAAAGAAAAGGAATGAATGTTTATATGTAGTTGAAGTCAGAATTATAAGCCCCCCTGAATTATTTATCTTTTTAACGGAGAGAAGATTTTTTTCAGCTAATTTCTAAACGAAATAGTTTTAATAACTCATATAATTTGACTAGATATTTTTCAAGACACTTCTTCAAAGTGACATTTAAAGGCTTAACTTTTAACCCTAAAATGGTTTATAAAAATTAAACACTGCTTTTATTCTAGCTGAAATTAAACAAATAAGACTTTCTCCAGAAGAAAAAAATATTATCAGACATACTGTGAAAATTTCCTTGGACTGTTTGGGACATTTGGGAAATAAAAAAAAAAATAAAAAAAAATAAAAATTCTGACTTTAACTGTGTTGGACTAAGCCGAAAAGAAAATGAATGAATGATATAAATGTATGTATACAAAATAATGGTTAGAAAAATCTGATTTAACTTTAATAACCACTTTATTTCTTGTGAAAAATAATTATATTTAAATTGAATTAAATATGTATATACATTGGGTACATATTTACTGAAACATGTTTGTAGGTCTGTCATATCACTCAGAATTACCTGTATTAAAAACGAACAGATGTTCCAAGATGCGACAACAGCCTGTTTAGAAAAACTGGAAAATGAAAATGAAAAAAAATAAAATAGCCTTTCAAACAATATGTTTTGATTTGTGTTTTATAACATATTAAAAATAACACAGGTCTTATCGGTCACTTCTGTGCCAATATAGATTTTGTCTTGTTTTTATTGTATTAGTTTAGCAAAAAGCATCTGTCAAACACTGTTATACAAATATAGATATTAATAAGTGATTTTAACAATAGTTGCAGGCTCGCTGTAATTTTTGAGGACCTTGGATCAGAAGTTACCCTTAGTTTTTATGAGCTCTTGAAATGTTGGTGCCCTGGATATTGTGAGCCAAGTGATTTTTAAAAGCTTAGCATAAATGTGTAATGTGAACAAATTGTGCTCATAAGCAATTCAAATGAGAAGAAGTTCAAATGAGAAGGCTTTGACGCAGAAACAGTATTCTTATATCATGATTTTGTCATATTGATAATAAATATTTGTCATTTAATCAGTTTACCACATTTCGTCCACAGCAAAAAAAAAGAACAAATGAGTGTCTCCTGCAAAACCAAACATTGAAAACCACAGTTTTCAAGAAATCTGTTACTGTAGAAGACTTACATGCGCCTTACTTAAAAGTTTCTCAAAATCAGTAAATGTTATCTGACAGGGCAGGCAGTTCTACAATATCTTACCAATAAACCTCTGTGTCCCATTAGGTGATCCTGTACTCTGAGGGCTTTGAGTCCAGTAAGACTCTTGCGAGGAAGATGACTCAAATGTACAAGCTCTGCAGTGAGCAGCTCTCTCAGCAGGATCACTATGACTTCGGGATGAGAGCTGTCAAATCCGTGCTGGTCATGGCAGGGTGAGTCATTCATACTTGATCTACAACACAAACTCATTTTGCATTACACACTTATGTCTCATATGCTGATTTGCATTGTTTATACACCTCTGTTCAAATATTTGTGGTCAGAACAATTTATTTGCATTTGTTTATTTGCAAAGTATTAATATTAAGGTTTTAAGCAAACATTTACTTTTTTTAGATTGTTAATAATGTAGTTTACAATGCCACACAATCTTTCAGAAATCATTCATATTTGCTGATGGGGCGTTAAAAGTGACATCGGACGCCAGGTTCATATGATTCTTCAGGGTCTAAGGGTGTACTCACACTAGGCACGGTTGCATTGAAACGTGTCAGGGTGCAATTGTCACCCCTCCCCTCTCCCCCAATGGCATGCACTCACATTGCGTTTTACCTTCGGAGCTCAAGCATGCATGCTTACGTCATCAATGATGTGAATGTTATACTTACATAAAATATTGCTCCACGTATTAGGAGGTTTGCTAAAGGTGGCAGATGAAGCTCAGCAAGGGATTTGCATCTATTAAGGGTCATGAAAGGGGGTTTCTTTCTCTTTCAGTTTAAGTCTACCTAAGAATAAAAATGGGTGTGGAGAGCTGCGAGCAGAGGGAAGAGAGGGCATGGCCAGCAGAGTAGGGGAAAAAGAGGGGAGTGAACAAATGTCAGTTGGCTTACAAGATGAGACACAAACCGTGAGGAGACCCATGATTTTAAAGTTTACAAAGTTAAAATGTAAAGAAATAAACAGTAATTTAATGCCCTGCTACATTTGTTATTCTTAATTACGTATAGACATAGCCAGAATTTGTTATAAAGATAATCATGTTTAAACACTATAACTGAGGAAGACTTCTCTTCTCCTCAATCCTCGGGTCTGAATGCAGACACAGTGAATAGCAGTACAGCAGGTCTCTTAACCTATCTATTCCAACCATTAACCCTGCCAGTAATCTGGAGGATTTTAAACGTATGAACACAGCAGCATGGGTATAGGTGATGTGTCTGAAAGGTAAAAAACTCAAGTGATAAAAGACAAAGTCCGCCATTCCCCAATTCTTGCTGCAAACCAACAGCTTTGCTGTATTGGCCCTAACATCATCACAGAGAAACACATGCACCAAACCCTGTGAATCATGGAAGCAAACACATAACATTACGACCCTTCAAAGACTGCTAAATACTGCTTGCCATGTGCAGACGCTGTCTCACCCAGTCACTGAGCCTCACAGCTTGGCATGTCTGTCTTGATTTGGAAAGCACATGCTCTCATGAATAATTAGGAAGCATAGGTCATAGGATAAGAAAACTTAGCTATGAATAATAATAAGAAACTGTTGTGTCATCACTCCACTAGCAGATTCGCACTGTCACAGATTTTGATCCTGCCCCAAAACTTATTTTAAATTTAAATTTTAAATTATTTTAAAGTTTATTTTTATTTCAAAATCTCAAAATTATCCTGTGTACCCCACAATTAAAGCTGACAGGTGCTAACGTTGCCTTAATTGATGCTCAACACATACAAATCTGTTAAAATAAAAAAAAGTACTCCAGAGTGTCTTGAAAATGTAATAACCCATGCCAATTAACATTCACTGAAAAGCAAAAATGATTAATAAATCTATTTGAAACTGTCCCTTAAAAGTGACGTCGCATCTTCAGTTTTGTGCTCAGCCGCGCTTTGCACTCAAACGACTGTACAAGCGTATCGTGCCAAAGCCCAACCAAACCATGCTCCAGACCACCTCTTCCAACTGTGTCAGGGCCCGCCAACTCAACTTCACCTAGGCGCAATTCGGAGCACTCGTCTTGTCAAACGAAAAATATGCCTGCGAAATGCACCCATTTCATCGTAGTGTAAAAGTCTATTACTTACGTTGGATAAAATTTCTTAATAGTGTAAATAAACACTTTTTTAATGCATCAAGAACACCACAGTCCACAGTGAGCCGTTTCACTTCATATCTCTTTAAATGCTAAAAGCTGCTGATTTCCCACCCTCTCTGAGCCGGCAGAATATCTCCTGTGTTTTAGCTTATCGATCCATTGTTGTGGAGCTAAAGCTTTCCAGCTGTGGAAGTTCCCACAGTGCTCAACCAAGCCTCAAAGTTCATGCTGACTTTTGTCTGCATGACTGAAATGGAGTATTTGAAGCTGTTTCCACATTATTATTACAAAATGTGAGATTGCACTAGACCGTCTCCTGTGTTTATAGTCATCATGTATAATAATTTTGCTGCCGTTATTAATGAAAAATGTATTCAACCAAACATCTATACATATGAAAAGTGACATTGGTGTATTTATCAAATGCTCAGCTGTAGTATCTTAAGTGGTTAGTGTGTAAAGCACTTTCAAACACTACTCTGCACATGAAGGATGATGATATGACTTTAAACACAGCTGAACTGAAGCTGGTGTTTGATAACTGTAACCAAACAAAACAAAAATGATTTACATCATTCAGACAAATTGCAAGAACATCTTTTTAATGCAGTTTTGATGTGCATCCAGCTTTATTGCCCAATATCATAAAGCAGTTTGGTTGAACAGTTTTTGTAAACATAAGCAAGTTTTTGCCCACTCTTTCTAGGACATTCCTTTTATATGCTGTATAAAAGTAATTCATTTTACTGTTGCCTTTTTTAAAGCTGGAATTCTGTGCAGGGACACTTGCAAGCCTCTAAAGTTATATCCAAACACACAGGTTCATTGTTTAATGCAGAGATATTAAAAGCACCTTTATGTTTTGCTATCTGTTTTCAAAAAGAGATGGGGAGGAGGGCATAGTCTATAGTTTGCTTGGAGGCGGGCACAGGTGAAGAAGTAGCTGATTACATATACACTAGTATGACATTCTAACAGGTCAATTATGGCACACAAATACACCCAGACAGTTTATAAAATCTAGCTGCATGTTTTCTTTTTAACTTGTCTGATCTGGCAGACACAGCAGGAATCTAACTAAACACAAACACATTTACAAAAGGGAAATTTTTTTTTGATGTCACCTTTTATTCCCTTAGATATTCCTTTCATTAATCATTTTCATTAAACATTTCTGCTTTGTTTTGGAAAACCTCAACATAAATTATTTAAAATTGAAATTAAAATGATTTTTAATATAAAATGTTAATACTTTTGCATTGTTTACACTTGTAGATTTTAATAAGTTTGACTTTGATCTTATTTTTCCTTTATATATTTTTTTTATTTTAATGGTTTTATATGTAAACATTAGTGTTTTGTCTTCATTGTTTTTAAGTATCAGTGCTTTTTATTTATTTAAATACAATAAGAATTATTTACATGCAAATTGGTTAAATAAGTATCACAGCGGTTTTTAGTTGATTGGTTTTAGTTTAAGTTCAAAACAACATTATTTGACGGAAATCTTTTGCTATGTACATTGATCAATTTAATAATTTGAATGAAAACACACAGCAAACCTTTAAATGGTATTGTAAAAATAAATGTAAACAAGTCAAGCAGTCTTTGAAAGTGTTTGTTTTGGCTTTTATAAACCACTGTTTCAGTTTTATTGTCATTAGTTTATAAAAAAAGTCAGTCTTTAATTCAAAATGAAAGTGCACAGACTCATTCCCTGTCATCATGAATGAGCCAGATATGAATGAGTTTGGGGTAAAGGCCAATAAAATGCAGCTGTGTAAGAAACCTCTAAGCAGATCATTTAGGCCCATTTGGCACGACTGTCATGGCCAGCAGCAAAATCTTCATTAGCTCTGGTCTCAGATCAGTAGCTGTACAGCTGGACCTTGCTTGCATGCTTAAGTGAAGAGTTAAGTGTGTGTGTGTGCTGGCCTTGTGTCACTGGCACATTTTATTAGTACTCAGGTTTTATATGCACTTTAAATTATCTTCAGTGTCTCTTAATGTCACTGCGTGCTTCTGTGAGACTTTAAAAGGTCTGTCTTTAAATCAGTGAGATTTAGGCTACTGAAGAGTAAGTTGTTTAAAATAGAGAATAAACGTGAGTGCTGTATTCATTGTAAATTATAGATATTGAATTAATACGGGCTGTTTAATAGCTTGGATGTGTTTTTACTATTCTCACAATACTAATTAGTGTTGCTTAGCAAAGCGTGAATGGCACCTCAAATCATAGCTTGTTGAGGATAGATATGATGTTGTCAGGTCTATGAATTTTTGCCTGGTGGACATTAAAGGTGTGAAAAATCCCGTAAACCAGGAAGCAGCCACATAGCAACCATCCAAAAAAGCCCTAGTAACCACCATAGCAAAACCACCTACAATCTTCTAATATTGTGGCAGGAAAGCACCACTTATCTCATATTTTCCACCCTAGCAACCACATAGCATCGCACTAAAAGCACTCACATAGTGCACTCACAGAACATCACTCCTATTTTCTTCAGAAAATGTGCAGTAAAATTGGTTTTGGTTTGTGAACGATAACAAGATCTGTTTTGTGATTGCCTCTGTGTATGTATCGTAAAATAGTGAGAGTTAATTTTTCTTTGAACAGCAAAAAATTTGTCCAATTTAATCAAAAAATGTGGAAAAAATATTATAAGCCGTTATTCACATGGTTAATCATGACTTTAACCATGAATTAATCATTAATTTTATTCACATTGCTTTAACTATGCTATGCTTTTTAATATTTTTTCCACATTTTTCGAGTACCTTGGACTGATTGTTGCTGTTTATTTTGATGAATCTCTAACCCAAAGACCATCAACACGTTATTTATGTAACGTGAACTGGACGCTGGACAAGGGAGTGCAGATCCAAGCGCAGGTTTATTAAGAGTAGTCAGGCAAGCAACAGTCAACACAGGAGCAAACAGATGTATACAGGCAATTCCAGAGTCGTGGTCATATAACAGGTGGATGGTCAAAAAGACAGGAAACAGACAGGGTAAAACAAACAAAACAAAGCAAGGTTTAAAAACACAGACGGCAAGGCAAGGAAAACTTGTTGTAATGTTCACAAACAGTAAAACAAGACTCAGCAACAATGTGTGTGCTTGTACTGTGTGTGAGTGGTGCATGACTGGATGTTGTTGTCACGGTTGTGGTGGGGAAAAGGAGCGAGGACTCAAGTGCAAAGAAACAATGGGTATTTATTAATAATGAAATAAAAATAAAAAGCAAAACAAAACTACCCCGAGGGGGAAAACATTAACAAAACACACAAACTTGGCTCAACAAGAACAAGGCAAGACTGGATCAGGAACACGGGGAGTGTAGACAACGAACTGGCAAAGGACTGAAAACATGAGGGGGATTATAAAGCAAAAAAGTAAATTGACACACAGGTGAACACAATTAACTAATAATGGGTTGACAAGGAGGGTGGGACTAGACAATAGACGGGAGAGCGCATGACACAGAGAGACAATACAAGCCATGCGCTCACATAACACAACACTGAAGCACACGACAAAAGCACGTGACCACAATGTAAACACCGAGCCACGTGCTTTGACAAAAGACGCAAGACACGAGCACACGATGAATGAAAGCACTCACCTTGCGCTCACACACGCAGCGTGCATGCTTCATCCCAGCGCCGACCAAAACCGAAACCAACAAGACTGAGACGCTGGGAATGAAACACCACGCTGCTGACAAACGAAAACACAAACACGAGTACAAGAGCGCACGCGTCTGAGGGACGCAGAGCGCGCGCGCGGCCGCGTCAAGCAGAAGCGCGCACACTCTGCGTACACCCACGACGGCGCGCGCGCACACAGAGACAGAAACAGGACCAGACCTGAGTAGTATCAGAGCTCTGCCACCAAAACAAGAATTTACAAGACCAAAGTGGCAGAACCCTGACAGTTGTAGTCTAAACTGTAAAAAATGTAGGGTTACACACAATTCATTCTTGTTGTCCCAACACAAATTGATTAAGTTAACTTAACACTTTTAACAAATTTTTGTGGATTGAACATAAAAAAATTAAGTTGTCCCAATAATATCTGAAGAATAGTTGTTTCAGCTCATTTTAATTAAGTAGTTTGAACAAGTAAAAAAAATAATTATTTTTTTTTGAGTGCATTTAATGGCGAATTTGAAGTTTTATGAATCTCATTGTGTTTACCGGCAATCTGCACAGGCTGGATCGCTGGTGATCATGACAATTTAAGCCACTCCTGAGCACTTTTTGTTTGATTTTTAATTTTTATTTCAAGAGTTCACACTAAGCTGATGATTGATTATAAAGCTTGTTTGGCATGCTGTCCCGGAAGAGAGCCCTGAGCTTATAAGATCCTCAAGCCTGGGGCTCCCTCCCGTTTGCTAGGTGAAAGGGGAGTTTGAGCTCGAGTAGCTCTCGAGAACTCCCCTACAGCTAATGAACAGATGGTGATTGCTGTTAAGATATACCTAGGAGCACGTCTATGGTGCCGATTTAGATTAGTGTATTAACTTAAGTTGCATGGTTTTGGATGGTGGGTAATCTGGGGGAAACCCATATGAGCATGGGTAGAACGTGTAAACTCTGCACAGAAACATCAGCTGGCTTGGTAAGGACTAGAACCAGTGACGTTCTTGCTGTAAGGCAACAGTCCTAACCACTGGGCCACCGTGCCACCCATCTAGGAAAGGAGGAGGAAAAGGGGTGGAAGGGGGGATTCTTCAAAATAAATAAGGCTGTTATATGGAACTTAGGGTATTTATAGTGGCTTAGGAATCGTCTGATTGGTGAATCATAAATTGAATAATGAGGGAAAAAAGGCCCACAAGCAATCATAAGCAAGTGATCCTCTTGAAATTAGTTTATATATAAACTTCACTTAGTTTTGGTGTTCATGTATGCATTTTCTGAATATGTTTTAATGTATTGTGCATTTTATGTGTGTGATGTTCAGGTCATTAAAAAGAGAAAATCCGAACCTGAGTGAGGATGTTGTGTTGATCAGAGCTCTGCGAGACTCAAACCTGCCCAAGTTCCTCAAAGATGATGCTGCGCTTTTCAGGTGATCTCTCACTGTTTTTAAAATCACACAATTATACTATTCCAACTATTATACAAAAATGTCAGTGAACGTTGATACATCGATAATGTCTGTGTTGTATGTAGAGGGCTCAGCATATATACTGTAAGTTCACCCCTTGCAAATCTATCTTTTGAATTCATATTTTTAATAGGAAGCTATACAATATTATATTTGTGCATATGCATTAGATTAGTCAGAACTGAAGCCAAATATGGAGCTTATCTAACAAAATAACTTACGAAAACGGTCCAAAATTAGTAAACCCAAATTTACACTGTAAAAAGTAAAAACTTAAAGAAATTACTTTCACTTGTTACAGTTAAATAAATTAAGTTTGACAAACTTAATTTATAACAGTTTTCAGTAATAAATTGTGTAACAAGTTTTAGTAAATTATTTATGTCAAGTATAAGTATTGTTCACTATCTATAGTGAGCAATACTTGCGCTTGCCACAAAACATAAAAGTATTATTATGACTATATTAAAATGAAGGAAATTATTTATATTGTAATAAAAGTATTTTTACTATTATTATTATATTAAAATGATTATATTGAATGATTTGTAATGTATTGTTCGGTTCCATTCTTGTTTACTTAAATTAATAAAACATGTTACACCTAAAAGAACTAAATTAATCTATTACTAAAACTGTCATAAATTATAGTTTGTCAAACGTAATTCATTTAATTGTAACAAGTGGAAGTAATTTGTTTAAGTTTTAACTTTTTACAGTATATATGTCAGAGAGAAATATTAAATACAAATGTAAAAAAAGAGGAAGAATCAAGAGAAGCAAAAAAAAAGTTTCATTGAAATTTTGTTGGTTGTATTTTTTAATTTTTTTAATTTTTTGCAATATTTTGCTTGAATTTAATTTAATTTATTTCAATTTCTGGTAACACTTTATTTTGATGGTCCCTATTGCACATTTTGTTGACTAAAAATTGCATTGCAACTACATGCCAATTACTTCTCATTTGAGTATTAGTAGAGTGTCTGCTTAATATCCGCTGATACTGCTCCTTCAACAGACATTTAAATGACTATAAGAAACTTTGCAAGTACATGCCAACTTAAAATCATGAAAAAATTTACTCATGCATAAATTTGTAAAAACACTAAGAGTCTTCAGTAGAGCTGTGCAATTAATTAAAATACAGTTTAGATTTCAAATATGGCTTCTAACAATTATGAAAAAACAATAATCGACATGAAATGATTATTGTACCACCCCATTATATACCACCCCTTTCCAGTTGTTCACATTTGTTGTTTTGCATAGCTCAATTTCACGTGAAAATTACTAAAAGCATGTCCTGTAATGTAATGTTCATTGATGTACATCCGAATCATACATGCTTTTATAAAACGCGAAAGCGGTCTCAAGCTGTTGTGTGAATGCACTCAGCCTCAGAGACGAGCAGAGCACACACATCTTAATGTGAGCGCTTTAATGGTAAATGCTAATTTGTGTCAAAATGCGGTGTTTAGTGATTTTTCACATTAACTCTCATTTATGTAATAAACAAACAAGTTAAGAATCAATAGACATACTGCTCTTAAAGTGACAGTGCACAATATTCCTGCTGCCGGCTTTTTTTTTATCATTAATCAAACAACAAAAGGACTCAAAAAAATCACTCACTGCTCTCGACTAAAGGACTTTTGTAGCTGTAATTAAAGTTTTTTTTTTCTTACAGTGAAGACGCTTAAAGTTTGTTTCATATTTGTATTCTATTGTATTTATTTCCCTTTCCTTATTTACAGGGAGGAAAATAACTGTATATTTACAGTTGAAGTCAGAATTATTAGCCCTCCTGAATTATTAGCGGCCCTTTTCCCCCCAATTTCTGTTTAACAGAGATTTTCTTTTAACAAATTTCTAAACATTATAGATTTAATAAAACATTTCTAATAACTGATTTCTTTTATCTTTGCTATGATGACAGCACATACAATTTTACTACATATTTTTTAAGATACAAGCATTCAGCTTAAAGCTCTTCTCCAGACATTATAGAAAATATATTGCTTAATAGGGCTAATAATATTGATCTTAAAATCATTTTAAAAATATTCAAACCTGCTTTACTCTAGACAAAATAAAACAAATAAGACTTTCCCCAGAAGAAAAAAGTATGTAATTTGTGAAATATTTATAAAAAAAAAAATCACAGGAGGGCGAATAATTTTGATTTCATCAAATATATATAATTTTGAATATTACAATATTACAATGATTACAATTATGACCAAAATAATTGTGATTATGATTTTTCCCATAATCGAGCAGCTCTAGTCCTCAGAATGTACAGTATGCTCCTGTTTAGATGTCTAAATAAACGTGTTCAAAAGTTTAACAGTGTAAAGTGTTCAGTTATTTTACATGGCAATATAACCTTAGCATGACACTCACCATCAGGGGGAGCCACCATTATGTAGAATAAATAGCTTTTTCCCCCTCTGTTGCGTGTAGAAGTTAAATAAAAATTGTACAATTAATTGTTTAAAAACAGTATATATTTTTTTTACTTTAGATCATTTTATATTTTTCTGACCTATTACAATAAAATGTAGTGTGGCTTAAATGTTCAAACATTTCTTTAGATTGAACCCTGTGTGCCTGAATGTGCTTAAATCCCACTTTTTCCTTTAGTGGCATCTTGTCAGATCTCTTCCCTGGCGTCACCATTCCAGAGCATGATTACGGTGTCCTGCAGTCCACCATACACTCATCCCTGTGCCAGCGCTCTCTCCAGCCCCTTCCCAGCATCATTAGCAAGGTTATCCAGCTCTATGAAACCATGCTTGTTCGCCATGGCGTTATGCTTGTGGGACCCACTGGCAGCGGCAAGACCACTGTCTACCGCGTGCTGGCAGACACCTTGGATACCCTTCATCATGCCGGGCACCAAAATCCCTTCTTTCGCCCTGTTAAAACCTATGTGCTCAACCCAAAGTCAGTGAGCATGGGTGAGCTCTACGGTGAGGTGAATCCACTGACGCTGGAGTGGCGGGACGGTCTGATGGCACTTTGTGTTCGGGCCGCAGTTCAAGACTTCAGTGATGACCACAAATGGGTGATCAGCGATGGTCCTGTGGATGCGCTGTGGATTGAGAATATGAACACAGTGCTGGATGATAACAAGATGCTCTGCTTGGCCAACAGTGAAAGGATTAAGCTCACACCTTCCATTCACATGATGTTTGAGGTAAAATTCTCAAATGTGTACATGCACTCCTTGTTTGTATGAAGCCCTATTATGATATTTTTATGTAATTTTGTAATTTATCTTCTTTTTTAATGCAAAATGTCTGCTGTGTTTCTGAAATGAAAGTGTATGATAAATGGAGATTGCCCTCCATCAAAATCTAGTATGAATGCCTAGAATAAATTGTCAGTCATTACAGTCTTATTTTTAATTTTATTTTAAAATGTGGTTAGAATAACATGCAATTATCATGGCTGCACTGCGGCAGTTCTGTAAGACCTCTAGGTTTCACTTTGTAGCATGTCAAAAATTTGCATCCTGCAGAAGGCCACACACTGTATGAGAGGTGCAGCACTACGCCATGTATTTAAAATTCTTGAGATTGTCTATCTTTGTCCAAATCAAACCAATTTGGTAGCATATGTACATGCACCTGTTAACGCTTATTATAATTATGTTTCTATCTCACACCCGTTTTGGCCCGCACCGTTATTATCTACAGTTGAAGTCAGAATTATTAGCCCCTTCAATTTTTTTTCTTCTTTTTAAATATTTTCCAAATGATGTTTAACGAGAAAAGACATTTTTAAAGTATGTCTGATAATATTTTTTCTTCTGAGAAAGTCTAATTTGTTTTATTCTGGCTAAAATAAAAGCAGTTTTTAATTTTTTAAACACCATTTTAAGGACAAAATTATTAGCCCCTTTAAGCTATATTTTTTTGTCGATAGTCTACAGAGCAAACCATCGTTATACAACTTGCCTTATTACCCTAACCTTGCTAGTTAACCTAATTAACCTAGTTAAGCCTTTAAATGTCACTTTAAGCTGTATAGAAGTGTCTTGAAAAATATCTAGTCAAATATTATTTACTGTCATCATGGAAAAGATAAAATAAATCAGTCATTAGAAATGAGTTATTAAAAATATTATGTTCAGAAATGTGTTGAAAAACTATTCTTCCGTTAAACAGAAATTGGGGAATAAATAAACAAGCGGTCTAATAATTTAGGGGGGCTAATAATTCTGACTTCAACTGTAGTTTGAATAGATAATTGGTACTAAACATTTGCGAATCGATTCAGAATTGTTAGAGAACTATTGATTTTTTTTTTCTCACCCCTAGAGTCTTTCCAATATCTTGTCAAAATCGTAAGAGACAGAATCGTGATGCATAGTTTCCCCAAAGCTCACCAGCCGCTTTCCTATGTACACCTTACTAGTACCTGGTTGGACCCCCTTTTGCCTTCAGAACTGCCTTAATCCTTGGTGGCATAGATTCAACAAGGTACTGGAAGATCCATATTGACATGATATCATTACACAGTTGCTGCAGATTTGTCAGCTGCACATCCATGGTGCAAATCTCTCATTCCACCACATCCCAAATTGAGATTTGGTGACTGGGGAGGCCATTTGAGTACAGTGAACTCATAGTCATGTTCAAGAAACCGGTCTGAGATGATTTCATGACATTATGACATGGCATGTTATCCTGCTGGAAGTAGCCTTCAGAAGATGTGTACACTGTGGTCATAAAGTGATGGACATGGTCAGCAACAATACTCAGGTAGGCTGTGGCATTGACACAATGCTCAGTTGGTACTAATGTGCCCAAAGTGTGCCAAGAAAATATCCCTTACACCATTACACCACCAGTAGCAGCCTGAACCGTTGATACAAGGCAGGATGGATGCATACATTCATGTTGTTGATGCCAAATTTTGTCCCTACCAACCAAATGACTTAGCAGAAATTGAAACTCATTAGACCAGGCAGCGTTTTCCAATCTTCTTTTGCCCAATTTTGGTGAGCCTGTGCGAATTTTAGCCTCAGTTTCATGTTCTTGGCTGACAGCTAAGTGGCACCCGGTGTGGTCTTATGCTGCTGTAGCCTATCTGCTTCAAGGTTTAATATGTTGTGCGTTTAGAGATGGTCTTCTGCATGGTTATTTGAGTTACTGTTGCCTTTCTATCAGCTCGAACCAGTCTTGCCATTCTCCTCTGACCTCTGGCATCAACAGGGCATTTGCACCCACAGAACTGCTGCTTGCTGCATATTTGTGATGGCTGTTTGTGAAAATCCCAGTAGGTCAGCAGTTGAAATACCCATCTGGTACCAACAACATGCCACATTAAAAGTCACTTAAATCACTGTTCTTCCCCATTCTGATGCTCAGTTTTAACTGCATGATCTTGACTATGTCTACATGCCTAAATGCATTGAGTTGCTGCCATTTGATTGGCTGATAAGAAATTTGCGTTAATGAGCAGTTAATGATGAACACCAATAAATTTAACTTTTAAAAAGTTCTGCTCAAATCAGATTTTTGGTTTCTTGAATGAACAGTGACATCTACTGAGAAAATGCCAGTGTTAAGTAACCTTGAATTAATGTAAACCTATGTAAGAATTCTAAAACATCCAATGCAATAGGAGTTTACAACAGGAGCACTTAAAATCCTGCACACACATCCTGTTGTTAATCAGAAAGTAGTCACGCATGTTTACATGCCCTGCTCTTCTCAATCAGGTTCAAGATCTTGCGGTGGCGTCTCCTGCAACAGTAAGTCGTTGTGGGATGGTGTACATTGACCCAGAGGAGCTTAAGTGGATGCCGTACGTTCAGACGTGGTTAACAGGATTCGCAGAGAAGGTAAAGCTCTAAAACTCTCACGGGACTCGCAAAGCACAGTGGTCACATAGCTTTGCAGTCAGTGACGCATTAGAAAGAATCCTAGTTAATGGTTTTATGGGGAAAACATTAAAGAGGAACATTATCAATATGCCATTACTGTGTGTTTGAAGGTTTTAGAGCTATATGTGTCTGGAAAATGTGTGTGTTTTTTAGATTTCCGATCCTGTTCGCGGATATCTGATGGAGCTGTTTGAACAGTATGTGGAGAAAGGTCTGCAGTTTGCATCAAAGCACTGTGTGCAGGCTGTTGCTCAGGTGGACATCAGTAAAGTCACAACCCTCTGCTGCCTTTTGGAAGCGTTACTGTTCAGCGATGGTGCCCCTAGCCTCAAAATGGTATTATACAAAATTACAAATGTACAAAATACATTTTAAAATTAATCAGACAAAGCAAACGCTACAGGTCATTTATTTGATAATGCGATTCAAATGCAAATACAAGAAAACCACAATTAAAAATGCTGTTTTCCCAACAAAAGTTAAACAAATAGTGGAATGAACAAAAAAAACAATTAAGTTGTTCCAAAAAAATCTTGAAAATTGTGTTGTTTCAGCTCATTTTAAATAAGCAGCAAAAAAAAAAAAAAAAGAAAAAAAAATATATATATATTGTTTATTGTTTATATATATTGTTTGTGTGTGCAGAACTACATTAAAGAAATTACACAAACAACAACAATAAATACAAAAACATAATATATATATATATATATATATATATATATATATATATATATATATATATATATATATATATATATATATATATATATATATATTTAACTAGGATGCATTATGTTAAACAAAAGAAAAAAGAAGATATTTATTTATTTACAAAATTTGAAAAACATTTATTTAAAACACTTTCTTAAAACAAAGAAGCAAACAAGCAGAAAAATAACAATAAAAAATAAGAAATGCAAGCAGTGCTACAGTCATTAACAGTAATGATAATTCAAAGCATATCCTACAGTAAGCACCTAATTATTACATTACCATGATTTCTAAAGAATTGTGTAACACTAAGCATTGGTGTATGGTCAATGGCTGCTAAAAAAATAATAATGTATTCAAAAATAAAAAATGTGGGTTATAATAATGCTGCACAACATACTGTATATTTTAGTATGCAACCTTAACTAAATAACTAAATTCAGCCTTGGTTAAGAATAACAGATCTAGGCTACAGATTATCATGTACAAAGAAAGGACAGTAATGAATTTAAGTTGAACTTAAGTCCTTGAAACTGTCCTTATAATAAGAATTTCCAAAGAACATTTTTTTCTTTTCCTTTTTATTCAGATTTACATTTTCAGCTTTCAGCATTCAGCGTTTTTTCAGCGTTTTTAGTATTCAGAGAACTAAGAGCTTACAGAAACACTTCACTTGTTTTGAAAGTAGGCTCATTTTACAAGTTTCCTTGAGTTAAACAGTTGAGTTTTACCATTTTAGAATCCCTTCAGCTGATCTTCAGGTTCGGCGGGAGCACTTTGAGATTATCTTAGCATAAATCATTGATTCAGATTAGAATTCATTTGCATCTCACTGAAAAAGACTAGTTTTGATAATTTTCTATGATTTGTTATAATGATCCTATGATAGCTATCTCCTGAAAATAGTCCCCAGCTAGGAAACAACGCTGTGTAAAATCCCACATGTTGTGGTATGGCAGCAAAGTTGATTAGTACATCTAGCCATATCAACCTAATAAATAGCAACTTTTCATCTTAGCACACAATGTAACAACAGACAGCTTATAGCTTTAAATAGGAAAATTATAAAAACTTTTTTTTTAATTAAAGTTTTGAGTGAATGCTAATGCTAATCCGATTCATTGATTTATGCTAAGCTAAGCTTGAAGTGCTCCCACCTGACCTGAAGATCAGCTGAATGGGTAAATGGTAAAACTCCACTTTTTAACTCTAGGTGACCTGCAAATTTAAAAACAGTGTTCCTTTAAGAGTCATGAATCAACTCTGAACTAGCAAGTTGATAAAATTCTGATAATAATTATTTTAATATGCAGTAGTGCTTCAGCGTTAGCTAAGACAACCAAAATCATCAAGGTTGCTAGAAATTGAAAAATGGTGGTATCCAGATTTTTAAATCTTGTGTGTGGTTGTTTTGTGTGTGTTTTTGCAGGAATCCAGTAAGTTGAACAATGTGTTGTGTCAGACGTTTGTGTTCTGCTACCTCTGGGCAGTTGGGGGAAATTTAATTGAAAGCCACTGGGATACTTTTGACACCTTCGTCAGGCAGCAGTTTGAGGACAATACTGATGCAAAGGTACATTTCATATACACACTGAAACCCATCAGAGCATTTTGATTAAACTGTAAAGTTAGTCAATAAACATAAAGGGGACTCTGTTTTATTGCCTAAATTTATAACAATCATATCAGTTTTATAATAGCTTCTGAAAAACATACCATTATGTGCTGAAAGATATGCAGGAAGATGTTTGTTTCTGCAAAAAACTTCAGTCAGTATGTTTTTATCATTTTACATAATCCAAAAGGAGGTTATTATTTTTTCCTAATCTTGTGTCATTGTAATGTTTTCTCAAGTGCCTTATGGTAGGTATTTCTGTTAAATAACTGATGTGGAACATTGAATAGACTGCAAACCACCTCTGGGCTCTGACCCTGAAAGGAGCACATTAACCTGACACAGAGGTCATTGTAAATTATATATAGCACCTGACTGGGTCAATTCTCTTTATCGCTATGTCTTCTCATGTGTCTGTTACGTTCATAAATGTGACCTCAGGAATATTTAATGAGAATTGGATCGAAGGAAAACAATATGTCCCAGACATTTGTATAAGGGTATAAGGGAAGGTGTGATATGTACTTGAGAAGGTCGGAATGCGATGGAGAATGTCACTATTAGTATTCCACAGAGCGAGACTGAAGCGTTCGAGAAGGAGGGAGGTGTGGGGGAGTGGAGAAGAAAGGGAAGTGATGAATTTAAGATGAACAAGGGTCCTCGAACCTGCCCTTATAACGAGGACTCGCAAAGAATGATTTATTTTCATTCTTTTCAATATTCAGATAATTTGCTGCATTATACTTCTAGTGTTATTATAATTTATTTGAACAAACAATCAAACAAACAAAAACAACTCTAATGATTATTAGATAGACAAGCCAAATTTAGAAAGCAGAATATTATAGAATGACCTTGCTATCCTTTGTAACCGTTTGTCGTCTACAGTAACACTGTGGCATATAAAGGAGCAAAAATACCCTTATGATTAATATTCATAGATGGACACAAGCCAAATTTAATTGAAAAAATTCATTATAGTGTATGAGTGCAATTGTGAGAGTGTTAAATTTTTCCCAGTACTGGGTTGCAGGTGGAAGGGCATTCGCTGTGTGAAACATATGCTGGATAAGTTGGCGTTTCATTCCACTGTGGTGACCCCTGATGAACAAAGGGACTAAGCCGAAGGAAAATGAATGAATGAATGAATGGCATTATATTATTCTTGTTTTCTGCTTTGAAATAAAAAAGACATCTTGTAAAGCTTTCTTTTTATGATATCAAAAGGCTAAAATCCTGGAGATACTGATTTTAGTATATTTAGAATTATTAAAAAAACATATTAGTGGAAAATGGATAAAACCAAGTGGTTTTAAGGACGGAGGCAACTTGCAAAGTATAACAATTTAAAAGATTAGTTCACCCAAAAATGAAAATTCTGTTATGAATTGCACACTCTCGTGTCATTCCAATCCCCTGAAACCTTCGATCATCTTCAGAACACAAATTAAGATATTTTAGATGAAATCCAAGGGCTCTTTAACCCTCTACAGACAGTAAGGGATGTAAGACATTTAAAGGGGACCTATTATGCAAAAGTCACTTTTATAAAGGGTTTAATAGTGTGAAAATATAGCCAACCTCTAATGTTCACACCAGACACGCCAAGCGCAGATAAATTGTGCTATTTGTGCATAGACGCATGAACATTTTAAGTTTTCTCGCTTTATTCGTGCATCAAATTCACTTCACAACAGACGCAGATCCGCATGATATAGGCAGGGCTTTAGTCTGCCCGGTGACTTCAGCTTCCTTGCTAAATGACTAACATGGATTTTTATATAGAGAAAAACTGTTTATGTGCTTTATGAAGGCTGAAAAACAGTGAAGATTTATTTGGAGCCGTGTCTGAGTCCACTAGATCCTTTCAGAGGTGCACCTAGCTGTGTGAGCTCATAAACCCCTTCAGAAACTTAACCTGGATGATGGAAGCTTTCAGCGGTGCTACTGACTGAGCTGAGCCCAGTTTGATGAACTGTTGTCTGTGTCGGTAGGAGGGTTTCCTCCCTTGGACACCAACAACAGGCGCTATGTCATAATCACGCCCCCACAAGAGCAAGCTCCTGATTGGTTAACACGGCGCTAATGTTCACTAAAGTTCAGATTTTCGAAGTAGAGTTATTCGTGCAAAACATGCGATAGGCGTGTCAAACGCACTTGATGCTTCTTTCGCGTCTGTTGTGAATTCAGCATAATGATAAAAATGTATTAATTTTTATTATCACGCTTCATAAAAAATAGTCTGCAGAAACACTTTGATTGACATTTTCCCTTGGTACATGTCATCAGTGAGTGAAAAGTCCCGCCAATCAGTGACAATCTCTCCCTCATTAGCATAAATAGCCCTGAGTAAGAAGCAGCCACACGCCATTAGAGTTTTCACCTGAAGATAGTCAGTGAATTATCAGTCGATTATATATGACCAGACAGAGGATTATAAAAATGTTTTAAAAAGAGTTTTAGGATGCACAAATGAACACTGTATTCTCTAAAGATTGCCTTCTTCTGAGAAAGTTTTTCACAGAGATGATGTTAATCCTGCTTTTGAAGCTGCCGCTATGCTGACACGCAGGTGGGTTAAGCAACACCCACTTTTGAAAAGAGCAAAATCTCATTTGAATTTAAAGTGACAGTCACCACAATGCCCCGATTTGGATCAAAGCCTAAAAAGGGGCAGTTTCAACGAATTATAAAAAAATGATTTGTGTGGTAATTTGAGCTGAACAAAGTCTAGGGACATTAGGGATTTATTTTACATCTTGTAAAAAGAAGCATGATACAGTAGGTCCCCTTTAAAGCTTAAAAAGGGAACTAAAAAACATTGTCAAAAACTTTTAATGTGACTTCAGTGGATTAACTGTAATGTCACGAAGCTCCAGGAGTACCTTTGGTTACCAAACCCCCCCCCCCCCCCCCCCCACCCCAGCTATGATTGCCAATTTTTTTTTTTTCTGTGTGCATCAGACATATTCACTAAAATTACACTTGCGTCTTGTGCTGGTGACTCCAACTGCAATACATCACATTGCCTGTAGTAAACGTGCACCCTGACAACCTGACGAGGAAGAGCTTTGGATGATTACATTTGAACCACGGAAGTCACATAGAATGTTTTGACTGTTTTTGGTTCCTTTACAACATGGTTGGTTTTATTACAACATCTTAAAACCATGCCTATGTAGGGTCAGAAAGCTCTCATCCATATCTCAATTTTGAAGATGAACAATGGTCTCGGGTGATTGGAATGACTTGATAGGGAGTTATTAATAGCATAATTCTCATTTTTGGGTGAGCTAACCATTTAAAAAGACAATTTATTAATATTTCGAAGCTGCCCTGTGTTCCCTAAATCGAATCCTTTATTATTATATTAAACGATTCTTGTCCCAAATATGTCTGACGAGTTCTTCAGCATATACCTATTGCTATTCTGAATTACTATTTAGTTTGTTAAGAACAACAACACAAAACATGATAAACTGTATGATTTTTTTTTGATGTCACTGAAATATATTGTAAAAAAAAAAAAAAGTGGGTAGTACTTGCAAAGGTTTCTCAGATGGGAGTATTTTCTGACTTCAGAAAGCCTGAAGTATACAGAGCATACCATGTTGACTACCCCTATTGTGTTTTATGTTATTGCTTTAAGGCTGTGACACCCCAAAATAACATCAAAGATCCAGGGGCAACAAAGCCGTCTGTGCAGTTGCTCATGTTTGAGCCTCAAAGTTGCGCTAGAACACACCTCACAAGTACAGCCTATGGCCAACTAGCACATATGATGTCGGCTTTACTGAAAATAATCGTATATAAATAAGTGAAGTCTGTATTTGTACCTCGAACAAGAATAAATAGCTTACTATTTTGAATATGAATCATGTGTATCACTTTCTTCATTCCCTTTCATACTATCATGAAAATATTCATATATTGGAAGATCCAGGTACAATGAAGCAATAAGATTGGTTTGGTCAACCGTCTGACATACAGAGTCACTTTTAAAATAGATTCCAACACAGAACAAACAAATGTTGACAGCAACATCTCTTTAAGGAATGGCTTGATAAGAGAAAATCATATTTGATTCATGTTCTTGTTAGTGTATGGCTCTAAACAATTTAAAAAAAATCTTTACAGAAAATACAAAATATTTCACAATCCTTTTAAAAGGTTTACACCCTCTGCTGCTAATGCATTGTTTTCTTTTTAAGCATCAGTGGATGTTTTCAGCTTTTGAAATAGTTAAATTAGTAAATAAGTTACTTTTTTATAATCTTAATAGTAAATGTGTCCCTCAGTATATGACAAAATAGATCTTAAAATCATGAATTACTGTTGAAAACAAGTCAAATCTGCAGAAGCCTTTTTAAAAAATAAAACATTGTGCAGAACTTTAAGCATTTTTCTGACTGCCCATGACTAAATAAGTTCCATAAACAACTATCGCATGACAAAACTAAAAATAACAGATCATCTACAGCAGGTAATTACACATAGTTTTCAGGGCATGTTAATTTTTGTATAGCACAATTTTTTATGAATTCAGTTGTTTGTGAGCATATGTAAACATATGTTATGTGAACTAGCCTAATTATGTTTTTTGGAGATTACAGTAGGTAACACATTTTGTAAATAGGATAAATTGGGACAGAAATATCGTGGAGTACATAAAATGCCATAAATTAGAAGAAACAAAAACAGATGCTCAATGGCAGCCAAGAAAAAGTCTTAATAGTTAAATAAACTCTGTCTTTTTACAGTTGCCCAGCGTAGGTGATTTATGGAGCGTCTATATGAACTTTGATATTAAATGTTTGGAGCCATGGGAAAGGATCATTCCCGTCTTCAGTTATAACAGTGAGATACCCTTCTTTGAGATGCTGGTACCCACCACAGACACAGTGAGGTACGGATACCTGATGGAAAAACTGCTGTCTGTCAATCACTCTGTCCTCTTCACTGGCATCACTGGTGTGGGAAAGGTAAGACGGTGTGTGCTTAATATAATGTACAGTAAATGTTTGTGAAGTAGAGTTTAACTTCAATAAGCCATTGTTTAAGAGGACAACATTCTTTTCTAGAATTTCAATTCTTACATTTTACCTCTTAAATGACCTCTTCATTTACTCTCCCTCATGTGGTTGTAAATACAAAAGATTTTGAAGAATGTTGTTTCCATAGGCTTCCATAGTAGGAAAAAAAAGCTATGGAAGTCAATGGGTCCTAGCAACCAGAAAGTTTTAAATCAATATTGTTTGTATTTGATTTGATTTATTTATTTAGAGTAGAACATCATACACTTAAAACAATTCTTCAAATAAAATGGTTTTTATCATAATCAACGAAAATATTAACTTCATTATATACTGTACATTTAAAATAACAAATTCATTTAGCCGGTTTGAAATGGAGTGGGATGAAGCACAATTCATTTTTTCCCCCACTCTATTATCATTATTTTACAATGAGTAAAATGCACATATGAGGTTTCACCGACCAGATGCATTTAAACCTCTGCGGTTTCGTTTGGAGTGTGTCCCAGACCATCTCCTGCAGTGGTTTGAGGGTTCCAATTTGTATCTGCCTTGAATGCATTTTGGTGGGCATTTACACCTGCCTTTTTCAAAATCCAATAACTATTTTAGAATATCAGTAAAAAAAAAAAAAACCTAAGAAAGCATGATTGACAAGTTTTTCAAGAAGACACAGCTGAGCCATTTTGATAACTAACTCGATACACTTTAAATTATAGTTTAAATAGAATAATTTTAGCAACCAATGATTAAAAAAATATATTATTTATTTATACTTTTAAAATAATTTTTAAAAGATCACCAATACATCACAGTCAAATACTATAATTTGATCGACTTGTCATAAACATAACTGCTATAACTGGTCATTTTTAATAAGCTATCATTCTCCAGATATGTCTACAACTACTCTGCATTGTTCGTAGATTCTATTCTTAATTAAGGATAAATTCCAGATATGAAAACATTGGTGAATAAATGTCAGAATCAGAATGAATATCAGAATGAAAAGTGTGGATTAAGAATAGATTTGTTTGTAAGAATAGTTGGTGATTAAAGCACAATCTTAGGAAAACAGATTAAATAATTCTTAAGAATATATTTTTGACATTACAAAATATTTTTAACATTTTGCGTAAGTTAAAAAAGAGATGAGTATTATAATGAGATTACAAGAGAATGAGATTTAAGAGGAAATGTCTTATTAAGAATGTTTTGTGAATATGGCTCTAGATTGCTTGCAAATGATGCATAAAATTTGAAATGCATCACACATACAATATATGTTAACTATCAAATTAAGAAAATAAACAGAAATTAACAACAAAAAATCAAAATGGGTCACTTTGACTTCTATGTGTTTTGACTTTGTATTGAAATGTCAGTTATACAGTTTTATGCAAAAATGTGGGCTGCATAATTGTGTGCATTTTTTATTAGAGAAGATCACAGTGAAATGCCATTTGATTTCTAGTAAAATCTAGAAATTATGTTTTCAGACAGAAATACATAGCGTAGCAGTTTTGAGATGTGTGAAATTAAACTGAAACTGAAAAATAGGCTATGTAAAAGTTTGGGCACCCTCTCTTTTGTGTGGATTTCTAAACCTGTGATTGATTACAACACAAAACTGATTTGATTGACTCTGTGGATCCTAACAATACTCAATAGTCAGAAATATAGTAAGAAAATAGAAGGCCTCAGGAACAGTTCTTGTGCAGGAAAGATGTGCTAGACCAAGAAAAATATCTGAAAGGCAAAGGCGAAGAATGGTTAGAATGGTCACAGACAAACCCCAGACCACCTCCAAAGACCTCCAGGAACGTCTTGCTGATAATGTCGGCTGCTGATAATGTCATTGTACATGGTTCCATAGTCCATCGCACTGTTCACAAAGAACAGCCTAATGGAAGGTGATAAAAGATCTTTCTGTATTCTGCCAACAAGAAGAGTCGTTTGAGGTATGCAAAGGCTCATCTGGACAAGTCTGGATCATTTTGAAAAAATAAACTATGGACAGAGGCTACAACCATAGGCGCTGTGCATGGTGGAAAAAGGACACAGCATTCCACAAGAAGAACATGCTCCCTACTGTAAAATATGGTGGAGGGTCCATCATGCTGTGGGGATGTGTGGCAAGCACAGGTAGTAGAAACCTTGTCTGAGTTAAAGGTCGCATGGATTTCACCCAGTATCAGCAGATTCTGAAGAACAATTTTCAGGAATCAGTCAAGAGGCTAAAGTTATGGCAGTGTTAGATATTTCAAATCTATGGATTGATATGAAAAGGGCCATTCACAATCGGCACCCATTAATCCTGACTAAACTGGAGAAATTTTGCGAAGAAGAATGGTTTAAAATTCCTTCAGCAAAACTTCAGGCACTTATCCTCAACTGTAAGAAGCGTCTACAGGCTGTTTTTTCAGCAAATGGTGGCTCTACAAAAGATTGATGTCATTATTCTGTTGGGGTGCCCAAATGTTTACACCTGTCTGTTTTTGTTATGACTTAAATTGCATTGCATCTGTTGATTAAATAAATGTTTTGTCAGAACTCAAATGCTGCTTTATCCTTACGGTTTAAAATTTATAATATATAAATATAAAATGAAATTGCTGATTTGAAAGGCCAGCAGGATATGGCTTGCATTTATAATAATTAACTTTTGCATAAGACTGTAAATTCTGAATTTTCAAGCCTTTTGTGCATTTCAGTCTGTGGTGGCACGGGCACTGCTGAACAGTGTGCAGGAAAAGGCAGGTTATGTCCCCGTATATATCAACTTCTCAGCTCAAACTTCATCTGCCAGAACACAAGAGATTATTGAGTCAAAACTGGAGAAGAAGAGAAAGAACATACTTGGTGAGGGGCATTTGTATATGAATATATTACATGTGTAAATGACCATACTGACAAAATGCTGTCTGGGGTTATGTATTACAGGAGCTCCTGCTAATAAAAAGATTGTGGTGTTTGTGGATGATCTGAACATGCCAAAGCTGGACAGTTATGGCTCTCAGCCCCCTATAGAGCTGCTCAGACAATTCCAGGACTTTCATGGCTTCTATGACAGAGAAAAGTTCTTCTGGAAGGAGATACATGTAAGCATTATAGACACTTACACACACACACACACACACACACACACACACACACACACACCCACACACACAGAGAAATTAGAGTTGTGTGTCATGTTTTCTTGAGAGATATTCAAAGATTTGTCCTTGTTTCACTTCGCTACCCACGGTTGAGAATCAAAATCTATTTATTATTCATAACTGGTCTTGTTTAAAAGGAAAAATAAACAATGATCTCTTTTATTGAGATATAAAGGTCAACATTCTTCTTGTAAATGATGGACAGAACACCAATAAATCATAAACAATTTACATAAATGTGTCATCAGTTCATCACAGCTATTGAGACTGAGTATATATATATATATATATATATATATATATATATATATATATATATATATATATATATATATATATATATATATATAAAATCCAAATTATCTAAGAGCAATAAAATAATGACTTCTAGTTAAGTATTTGGAAAAGGTAAGTCAAGGTGCTCCAGGATTGGCCAGCCCAGTCACCAGAAAAGAACATTATTAAGCATGCCTGGGGTAAGATGAAGGAGGAGGCATTGAAGATGAATCCAAAGATTCTTGATGAAGTCTGGGAGTCCTGCAAGAACACCCTCTTTGCCATTCTAGATGACTTTATGATTAAGTTATTTGAGTCATTGCAGAGATGTATGAATGCAGTCTTCCAAGCTCATGGAACTTAAACACTAAAACCTGAACCACACTGTTCCAGTTACTTTGACCATTTGTGTGAAGCTGCTTTGACACAATCTACATTGTAAAAGCGCTATACAAATAAAGCTGAATTGAATTGAATTGAATTGAACTCATGGGAGTTATATACAATATTACTTTTTTTTTCCACTTCACCATGACTTTATATTCTATACTGTACGTTATTTCTGTTAAGTGACAAGACCTTTATTTAAGCTAAGTCAGACCTTATAAATCAAGGCACAATGATATTTTATTTAGGTAAAATAAGCGTAATCTAGAGCCCTTTGTCTTTCATATTTGTCTAATTACTATTTGGTTGAGTTATCGGAGTTACTGTGATTTAAATAATAACAAAATAACCACAACTACTATAATAATACAAATATGTACAAAAAACAAACAAACAAAAAATAATCATTGCTGCTTTTAGATACTGTATAGCGTTTCCATTTACTGTATTAATTATTTTTTTTCAATGTCTGCCTCAGTTCCTCTCTATGAGCATGGGAAATAATGTATGTTGTAACGTTTATCATATAACGAGAAAGACTAATGCTTCATGTTTGAAGTAGCTGCTCTCATTTTATTGTTGTTTCACCTCGGGAGTGATACTTAATTATGCATTTTCCACACACCAGCATCAAGTAAACCCTTTGCTTGCTGAGCACACACTCATACACGCATACAAACAAAGATAAAAGTGCATAACATAAACAAGGACAATTATGCAATTTGGCAAGGTTACAGAGAAATTGGGTGATCTGAGACATTGCAGACGGTCGACCTCAATAATTATAAATCACAAATATGAGTTTGATAAAGTAAAACATGATGAGAAAGGGGAATAAAATGATGATTTGTGGTTCTCAGGTGAGCTTTGCCCTTGGAGAATCCGATCTGGGTTGTTGTAGCTCTTTGGAGACTGAATTTAACACTGCTTTGACTTTGACACAGCAACCTGAATGATTTTTCTGTCATTTGAAGAGTAATTGGTCATTAAGTTCTCCAGCTGTCACGAATGCTCTCGTTTTAATTTGGGTTTTAATCAATATTACATTATTTCTTTAGTAAAGGGTGATGAGATTAGTTGAAGTGTCTGAAAAATTAAATCATGTCCCTTGGATATTTTTTCATATGCACTTATTCACCTTCTTTTTCTCTGTGTTTCTCTTCCCTGAAGGATATGACCATAGCAGCAGCCTGTGCTCCTCCTGGTGGAGGTCGTAATCCTGTGACCCCTCGTTTCATCCGGCACTTCAGCATGCTGTGCCTCCCAACACCCTCTGAGAGCAGCCTCAAACAGATTTTTAAGGTCAGACATATGGAAGCACTCATTTTAAATGAACATTTGACTTTTAAAGTCAAAGTGAAATTAAAATCAATCAACTCAACTTTCTTAATACATTTGCTTGGACTTATTGTTTATTATTCATTGGTGGAAGTTGTCCCAAATAAACATAGCATAATCTAATAGCTTTATTCTGAAACAGTTTTACTTGACATTTTTATCCACCTGGCTAAAGTTTGCCATGCAGTCATGTCCCTCTGGATACAATCAAGCCTTGCCCTACTTTTTTCCTCATTGAATTTTATTTTCATTCTCAGATATATGTCACATATAGTTGAAGGCAAAATTTTTGACCCTCTTATGAAATTTTTAATTTATTTTCAAACATTTCCCCAAGTGATGTTAAACAGAGCATAGAAATTTTCACAGTATTTTCTATTAGATATTTCTGCTGGAAAAAATATTTTTTCTTATGCTAGGCTGGAATAAATTAATTCCTAAATGTATAATATAATATAATATAATATAATATAATATAATATAATATAATATAATATAATATAATATAATATAATATAATATAATAAAATATAATATAATATAATATAATATAATAAAATATAATATAATATAATATAATATAATATAATATAATATAATATAATATAATATAATATAATATAATATAATAATATAATATAATATAATATAATATAATATAATATAATATAATATAATATAATATATATTTTGTCTATTTAGTTATGTTTTTGCTGTGTTTGCCAGCTTATATGTTTATATGAAAAGAAACATTCAGATTGTTTTTTATTAGTTTATTTTATTATTACAATCCTGTGTGTGTTTAACATAGGAGAGTGGACTTTACAAACCACCTGTAGCAAACCAACTCTTTCCTCTTCCTCTCTATATGCATCAGCTTTTCTACAAAAACTCCATTTATAAAACTAAAAAAACTGTTAAACTAACTTTGACTTGTCATGGCATCTATGTATTACTCCTCTCTGGTGATTTGAAGTGCTTATTTTATCTTCATTTCTAATTTTCTTTGGATCATTTGCTAAATGTAATTGTAAATTTAAACTACCTGACAAAAGTCTTTTGGCTTATTCAAGTTTTAGGAACAACAAATAACAGCTTGACTTCTAGTTCATTTGGTATTAGAAGTGGCTTATATGAAAGGCAAAGGCCTTAAGATTATTACCTAAATAAAATATGATCATGCCTTGATTTTTTAAATTGTTTATTTAGGACAGTAAGGTCTGACTTTGCTAAGACAAAAGTCTTAAGACATTAAAATCATGTACAGCATAGAATATAAAGTCATGTTGCAGAGGAAAAAGTGTATGACTCCCATGAGCTTGGAGGACTGCATCCATACATCTCTGCAATGACTCAAATAACTTTAATTAATAAAGTCATCTGGAATGGCAAACAAAGTGTTCTTGCAGGACTCTCAAAGTTCATTAAGATTCTTTGGATTCAACTTCAATGCTTCCTTCTTCATCTTACCCTAGACATGCTCAATGATGTTCATGTCTGGTGACTGGGCTGGCCAATCCTGGAGCACTATGACATTCTTTGCTTTCAGGAGTCCACTCTGCAGATCTGTTGCACTCCCCCATACTGAATGTAACCCCAAATCATGATTTTTCCTTGACCAACTTTGACTGATTCTGTGAGAATCTTGGGTCCACGTGGCTTCCAATAGGTCTTCTGCAGTATTTGTGACGATTGGAATGCAGTTCAATAGATGATTCATCAGAAACATCTATCTTCTGCCATTTTTCCAAATGATCAACTAGATGTTAAGTTAATATTTCTTGCTCTTACAACTGCGATTGACGACAAGACTATGGTCAGGTAGTGCAAGCTTTTATACTACTTTTGCAACCACCTGTAACAATAAATAATAATCCTAAGAATTGATTTTGAAGTATCTGATCTGTTATGTGGTTGAATGTCCATCAAGCAGTTTCTGAGTGCATATCATCTGAAGATCAATTAAGAATCCTGAAGCGTCTAAAGTGTATTCAGCAGACATGACCCATAACCTACATAATTGGGCTCCCTCATTAAGACTAGATAAACCTAAAATATGCAGGTTTCATCTCTAGCAGCTTCCTGAATAGAAAGTTGACAGCAGAGTATAATTGGATGTTGGAAAGGAGCTGTCCAATGTTCTGAAGCCATCGCTGTACATCTGAAGCTATCCGTGGTACTGAACTGACAAACCTTGAACTGAAAATGGTCAATCCATCAACCTTGCACGCTGGAGCTGCTCTTCAGTGGATTGTCCTTCAACAGTGACACTTGTATTAAACTGAATTGAATCAGGTTTAGTTGAACTAGAACTAAACTAATATTCTACCAGTACTATGCTGCCTGCCTTTCTTTGTCTTAGTCCCTGCTTTTATAAGGGGATGCCACAGCAGAATGGACCATCAATCACTCTGCAGTTACTGGCAGTTTTTTTAGCTTTACCTTTACAGGTGAATCCCCCTAACTTCGCAATCCTGCTCTGAGCTATTCCGGACATTGTTCCAGAATTAAACTTATGCACAAAACTGGAATATTGCATAAAACATTTGCAAAGAAAGCACTGTTTCCATACCGTCCCATCATGCCCCACTTTTTACAGAAAAGCACATTGCCATTGCTCTGTGTAATTTGCTTTTGTGTGCTTGTCAAAACAAAATCATATGACTTTTTTGATGACCATGCTGGAATTTATTTGGGAAATGTGTTTCCATTGTAGGCTATGCACATTTTATACTTATCTGATAAAAAGTTGATCTTGCTCAGTTGTGCACTTAACTTTTTTATGTGCATTTTAAAAATGTATGTTGAATCTTGCTATTTCCATAAAGCATTTTTATTCAATAGTGCAAAATGTGCATAAAAATAGGTGGATGGAAACATAGCTATTGAAAGTGTGGGAATTCAATATTTTACAGTGCGGCAATATGATTGTGGTTAGGCTATTTTTCAGCCTCATCAACTGGGAGCCACTTAAGTCAAATGCAGTCACTAGACTGTACCTGTTAGCTAAGCCTCATATGCCAGGATAATCTAAGTACATAGATAAGTATAAAAAGCTTTGGCTTTAAAATGATCACTTCAAGGTCTTCAAAGTAGACAGAAAAGCTAAATGTAAATATAAAACTACTATGAAAGTATGAATCATATTTTTTCCCCCAAAATAAGAGATCAATTATCCATTGATGTTCTCATTGTGGCTTTTAAAGTCATGCCAAATATTCATTCATTTATTTTTTTTTGGCTTAGTCCTTTATTTATTAGGGGTCGCCACAGCAGAATGAACTGCCAACTATTCCAGCATATGTTTTATAGAGTGGATGCCTTCCAGCCGCAATTCAGTACTGGGAAACACCCATACACTCTCAAATTCACACGCTACGGCCAATTTTGTTCACCCAATTCTTATAGCACATGTGTTAGGATTGTGGGGGGACCCGGAGCTCCCAAAGGAAACCCATGCAAACACGAAGAGAACATGCACACTCCATACAGAAATGCCAACTGACCCAGCCGGGGCTTGAATCAGCGACCTTCTTGCTGTGAGGCGATCGTGCTACCCACCGTGCCACCATGCTGCCCTATTACCTTATTATTTTAACATTATTTTAATATTATATTATACACATATAAACACATCAGCAACCTTTTTTAACAGGATGTCTAGGAAATTCAGGTTTTTAGTTAAAGAAATCAGGGAAAAGACAAAGGATTTGGTACTTGGCTTAAAGTGGCTACAGAAATAAAGACGACTTGATTTGACATGGAAATCTGTTCTTGTATGTGCATGTTTGCAGGCTATTTTGGGTGGTTTCCTTACCGAATTTTCCACGGCGGTCAAGCAGGCTGCTGACAGCATTGTGGACGCTGCTGTTGAGATCTACCATCGCATGAGTGTAGATCTGCTACCTACACCAGCCAAATCCCATTACGTGTTCAACCTTCGAGACCTGTCTAAATGTGTGCAGGGTAAGAACCACAGACATGTCCACAAACACACTTTGACAGAGGCATGAGGGCTTTTGCAAAAATGTTACAAAGACATCCATCCAGTCATTCAAATACCGCACACAGACCATTCAAATCCCTAAGAATGGACTGTATGCACAGCTAGTGTTTTTCAGCTAACGATGAACTTCGGTGAGAGCTTGATGTGACTATTTTCAATCTCATAAAGTTCCTTTTATAGCATCAATGTTGTAATGTAATTCAAATATAATCAGTTAAATAGACTTAAGCATCCATTCGGTTTTTAAAGCCTAAAAAGAGATGAAAGACCGTTTATATGTAGGTGCCGTCATTAGCAGCAGGCTAGTGCAGAAATAACATTGAAAATACTAGGATAAAATTAATTTCCATATTTTAAAGACATGGTGCAAAAAAAAATAATAATACAGTGCTTCTCATTTGGTCTAATACCCACTTTATATCGTATCTCAGCCAGGCAGTGAAGATTGCTGTTTTTTTTTTTTTTTTAAGAAATCACATCTTAAACGCAGTGATTTTGTATGGGATGACAATACACCAGAAGTACTTGGGCTGGCTAACTGAAATTAAAAGTCTGTGTCCATATATCCCGTTTAAAACTACAGTCCATTCAAAAAAATTGCTTTATCCCCTAGAGTGTTTGGCATCTGTTGTACCAAAATCCACCAAAGGCTTTTAATCAGCTTTCTTTGTTTAAGAGCTCTCAAATGACAAATACAAATGCTCTCTCTTAATTTGAAATGCACTTTGGGGGGCTGTTAAAACGTTGGCTTAGGACTCATCCACAGGCCAAATTATAGACTCTCAATAGGAGATACTGTCTATCTAAGCTAAAGCACAACCCCCATCTGATTATGTTTTCATTTTTAGTGAAAGGTCACAGGCAAGTTTATCTTTTACTGATATTGATCTGTAGACACAGTATTGATTGTTTGCCAGCAGTAAGTCTTGCTATAAAGATATATATTAAAGAATCTAATCTGTGTAAACGTTGAACAAAATTTCTTTTCATTATTTGTCTTTGAATGTGTGTGTGTGTGTTTGTTTTCTGTGTAGGTATGCTGCAGTGTGAGCCAACTACGGTTAGAGATCAAACCCATATCTTCCGTTTGTTCTGTCATGAGTGTCAACGTGTCTTCCACGATCGACTCATAAACAACGAAGACAAAAGCTACTTCAATACCATGATCTCTGAGATGGCCAGTAAGCACATGACCCTCAAATCCCCTTCAGTGTTAATCTCTCTAGTCCAGACATCTGTTAAGGTGTATATTATAGGGCTTTTCTCTATTAAAATAATTAACACTGGGTCATTCTAAACATAGGATAAATTGAATCCTGGGTTATCTTCACTTTTCACACACTCACTCTTTTTTTCATATCATTTTTTATTATTATTCATTCATTCATTCATTTTCTTGTCGGCTTAGTCCCTTTATTAATCTGGGGTCGCCACAGCGGAATAAACCACTGAACTTATCCAGCAAGTTTTTACGCAGCGGATGCCCTTCCAGCCGCAACCCATCTCTGGGAAACATCCACACATACACACACACACACACTCATACACTACGGACAATTTAGCTTACCCAATTCACCTGAACTGCATGTCTTTGGACTGTGGGGGAAACCGGAGCACCCGGGAGGAAACCCATGCGAATGCAGGGAGAACATGCAAACTCCACACAGAAACGCCAACTGAGCCGAGGATCGAAAACAGTGACCCAGCGACCTTTTTGCTGTGAGGCGAACGTGCTACCCACTGCGCCACTGCGTTGCCTATTATTATTATTATTATTATTATTATTATTATTATTATTATTATTATTATTATTATTATTATTATTAACATTATTATTAGTTGTTTGCATGGGTAACAATTAATCCCTGGTGTTTATATGTATTCATCACAGTTCTCTACTTATGATTAAAAGAGGTGGACAGATGATAACCTGAGGTTAAGCACAATATGAAAAGCCCTTACAGTATATCAAAAAAGTGAGTGGTCATATGAACTATGTCCAATAAGACAATAAAAATGTGATTTTATTTTTTAAATATGCATCGTAATGTTTAAGAATGTGACCCTTGACCAAAAAAACAGTATTAGGTTGCATGGATTTATTTGAAGGAATAGGAATAAAATAAATTGTATGAGTCTAAATTACTGACATGAGTCTAAATTACCGACTACAAAATTATTTGAATATTAGGTAAAGATCAGGGGCCTCATGTATCAACGCTGCGTACGCACAAAAACTTTGCGTACGCCAGGTTTCACGCTCAGAATCGCTCACGTTTGGATTTACTAACAATGAACTGAACGTGGGAATGTGCGCAGCTTCACGGCAGCTTTCTGGCTGGCGTACGCACATTTTTTGTGCGTGTCTGTTTTATTTCCATTGGCGACTCCTGGAGGCAGTTGTGTTAAATTCCTCTCTACAAAGTGTCTGAGCCTTGCAATGGCAGCTGTCTGAGGTGGGTTCAGCAGGTATATAAGGTTTCCATACCATACATTTGACCAGCTAAACATTAAAGCACAATTTGCAGCAGTCGCCTGTTTTCCTAATGTAATCTGAGCAATCTACCGCACGCACATTGCTATAAAGACACTATCTGAAGATGAATTTGCATGCGTGAATCAGAACCATTTCCATTCAATAAATGTGCAAATAAAATATGATGCTTATTGATATGAACTTATTGATGATTCCTACTTGTCTTTCTCGTGATAAATAGTTGGCAAAATCTGATATGTAGCGGTGGAAAAAACAAGAAAGAGTTCATCAGACACTGGATTCGAGCCGAGTTCATGCTCGAACGTATCAATTCACGATCACAAGCGTCTTACGAGCGCGCCACTGAGACTGTTGAGCGTCCTGTAACAGTTTACAGATATAAACCACACTATTTCTTTTTTTTTTTTTTATGCACTCAGTGCGATATGTTCAGACCTAACTGTGTTGACCGCATCAGCTAAACTCTCCCACTCTATTTTTTTCTTTTGTTGTTAATTCCGGAGAACAAACTTGCAAATAACACCGCTTTTCTCCGGTCTACCTCCGAAAGCAGCACCTCCAATTCACATTCTGTTCAAAGTTTCTCTTTTTGCTTGCTTTTGCCAATGCTTTTTCGTTGGGTTTTGCCATTAGCATAGTCATTAACATATTCATACGGGGGAGGAGGCAGGGAGGGGTTTTGTGCTCGTGCATGTTGCGCTCAGTTTTACGTTCATTCAGATGTACAAAAGAATATGCGTGAGATTCGGCGTACGCAGTGTTTCATACATCTGAAATTTTTTCTGCGTAAGCACATTTACAGCTTTGTGCGTACGCAATGTTTTAGTAAGATTTCTACGGAAGTCTTCGTACATGAGGCCCCAGGTTCCCAAAAACATTTTAGAAATACCATTCCATAAATAAATCAAAATTGTTTTGAAATATGAATTGCTAAGAACTTAATTTGGATAACTTTAAAGGCAGCGTTTTCACTAATTTGTTGAACACTCAGATTAAAATTTTTCAGATAGTTGCATCTCAGCTCTATATTGTTATATCATAACAAAACATACATGAAAATTTTTTTTAGATGATGTAAACATTTCATATAACTGGTTTTGAGGGTTACAAATATGTTTTTTTTTTAAATAATTTGCAGATAGTTTAATGTTAATTATTTTTTATATTTATGCTTATTGTACTTATAGTCCATGTTAAAACTGCTTTTTCATAAATTTAGATAGAGGCACGTTGATCAGATTAAATCTTCTAATTTTGCAGTGTGACTTATCAGAATGATCTGTTTATTTTTTGCTTTGCCTCTAACCTGTCTTCCTTTTTTGAAGTAAACGTTAGTGTGCTGCTTCTTTATCTTTCAACTGCTTCTTTTGTTCAACAGGTAAATATTTCAGCATAAACATAGAGCCAGCATACTTTGTGAATCAGCCCATCATTTTTGGAGATTTCATCAAGGTATAAGTGTTTTTGTAGCTGTCTGTTTTATTAGTTTTGATTGTATAATGCTATCTGTTTACGTTTAACTCTTTATATAAAGAAGTTTAATACAACAGTACTACAATTATAGTTTATCAATGGTTCCAATAATGTTCCCAATAAGTTGTAAATAAAATAAAAATATTTCTTAACATTCTTAGTATGTTTAAAATGTCTATCAGATGTGGTATCATTCTTGTTTAGGTTCCAGTAACATCATTATAAATTAATGATTTTAGAATGTTCCTGTCTTGTGTTATATTAATGTGTATTATTTTTCTTTCAACATCTTGAGAATCATTCATCAAGTACAAATAACATCATAAAGACATTCATTCGTTCATTCATTTTCTTTTCTGCTTAATCCCCCTATTAATCTGGGGTCGCCACAGCAGAATGAACCGCCAACTTATTCAGCATTTATTTTTTACGCAGCGGATGCCCTTCCAGCTGCAACCCATTTCTGTGAAACATCCATACATTCTCATTCAAACACATATACTACGAACAATTTAGTCTAACTAATTCAGCTGTAGTGGATTTCTTTGGACAGTAGGAGCCTGGAGGAAACCCACGCGAACACAGGGAGAACATGCAAACTCCACACAGAAATGCCAACTGACCCAGCCGTGGCTCGAACCAGTGACCTTCTTGCTGTGAGGCGACAGCACTACCTACTTGCGCCACTGCGCCGATCATCAAAAAAGTCATTCCAAAAACATTTTTTCCAACATTGTTACAAGAATGTTTCCCAGACATTACTTTAATAATGTTCTGTGCCAACTTTGCGCTTTTAGAGAACATTACTAAATGATCTGTGAGTGTTTCCTGTTATCTGGGTAGTTAGCTAAAACAATCACTCGTCTATTTCATTAGTAATTTTTAGAGACAATATGAATAATTTTTTTTTATTATTAAATACCTAAAAACTACTTGAACAGTCATACATATATAGTACTTACATTCTACCTAATATTTCAAAGATTGATCAAATCCAAAAAAATAATCAATTTAACTATTGAAACACCCAGCAGGCATAGGATGTCAACATGAGGTCAGATTGATGTTGTACTCCCATGTTGTGGGACGCTGCATTTTGCTTGGAATTGAGAATCGGCATGATGTTTGAAGCCAACGTCAGGCCGACGTCAATGTCCAACATTGAACAGACTTTGCATTTTGATTACTTTCCAACGCAACCTAAAAATAACGTCTAATGATGTCACAGCTTGTTGTTGTGTGGACGTTACCAATATAGCGCCTATCAGACGTCAGATTTTGGTTACCATACCTGATGAATAAATGTCAGTATTTTACGTCAATATGATGTTGGTTTAAGATGTTGGCTTGACGTTGGATTTTGGTCACTTTCTTACAACCTAAAATCAACAAAATATCAAAGTAATTTCATGTCTTATTGGATGTCAAAATAACGTTGTCCTTAGATGCTGGTGATCTAAATCTAACCTATTATTAATGTTTTATGACGTGTGTCTGCTGGGATTGTACTAATGATGCCATACAACCTTGCTTACAGATTATACATAACAGAACCCTAAAATGTCACTCATTTGTCATCAGCAATTGCTTCAACTGTCTAGTTTCGATTTGATGGCTTTCAGCCTTACTCTGCTTTATATTACCATGATAATAAGTTTTACTTTAACTCATTTTGTCATGTCATCATGAAAATATGCCTTTGTGTGGTGTTAATATGTGTCCACCAGTGGCAAAAAATACACATTTCACCTTTAATGACAGGGTTTAGTTAATGTTTTGTAATTAAACAATTTAATTCAATTTTAGGTTGGAGCAGACAAGGCTGATCGTGTCTATGAGGATCTAACTGACATGGACAAGATTCGCCAGGTGCTTCAGGACTACCTGGATGACTACAACACAACCTTTGCAAAGGAAACCAAGCTGGTTTTCTTTCAAGATGCCATTGAACACGTGTCTAGGTAAACAAGCAGCTTGCCTTTTCGTCTGGTGTTCACAAAAGCAGGTGTTCAGATGACCCTGTCATTTAGCCTGCACGTCTGGATCAGTTTACTAATGGAATGCTTTGTTCATCCACCCAGTTGACCTTCCTTTCTTATCGTTCATCTGTTCCTCTGTCCACAGAATTGCCCGCATGATTCGCCAAGAGCGTGGCAATGCCCTGTTGGTTGGTGTGGGTGGCACAGGAAAGCAATCTCTGACACGTCTGGCTGCTCACATGTGTGGTTACCGTTGCTTTCAGATTGAGTTGAGCCGTGGTTATAATTACGACAGCTTCCATGAAGACCTGCGTAAACTTTACAGAATGGCAGGTGTGGAAGGCCAGGACATGGTCTTCCTCTTCACGGACACTCAGGTACAGCCTAGGAGAAATCTGATAATAAATGATATTAAAAGTGTGTGTTTTTTTATAATTAAAAAGTATTAAAAACAAATAATTATTTTAAATAGGTTGAGTGGATTTAATTCATTACAATAATCATATTGCCAGGCACAGTAAGATGGAAGTAACTACATATTTATATTAAAACGTGTTGTATAATAGAATTGTACCAAGAGTAATATCCAATGATGCAAGCTAGTTAGTTTTTTGCCACTTTTTTTACTTTTTAAACAGAACACAAAGAGCCATTTATGTTTATGTTATTCATTCAAATTAACAGTACAAGACAAGATCATTTTTTGATTTGTCTTCATGCACTAACTGGCCCCTTTATTAGGTACACCTATTCAACTGCTCGTCGATGTAAATCAGCGAATCACTTGGTAACAACTGAATGCATTTAGGCATGTAGACATGGTCAAGTCTGTCTGGTGCAGTTCAAACCGAGCATCAGAATAGGGAAGTAGGTGATTTAAGTGACTTTAAACTTGGAATAGTTGTTGGTGCCAGACGGGCTGGTCTGAGTATTTCAGAAACTGCTGATCTACTGGGATTTTTACGCACAACCATCTCTAGTGTTTACAGAGAATGGTCCGAAAAAGTGAAAAATCCAGCGAGCGGCTGTTCTGTGAGTGCAAATGACTTGTTTATGCCAGAGGTGAGAGGAGAATGGCCAGACTGGTTCCTCCTGATAGAAAGGCAACTTTAACTCAAATATCTACTCGTTACAACAAAGGTATGCAGAAGAGCATCTCTAAAGATTGGAGAAACGTTGTCTGGTCTTGATTTCTGCTGTGACATTTGTATATTAGGGTCAGAATTTGACATCAACAGCATGAAAGCATTAATCCATCCTGCCTTGCATCAACAGTTCTGGCAGGTGGTGGTGGTGTAGGGGGATTTTCTTGGCACACTTTGGGCCCATTGGTACCAATTAAGCATTGTCAACACCACAGTCTAAGCGAGGATTGTTGCTGACCATGTCCATCCCTTTATGACCACAGTATACCCCTCTTTCAACAGGAAAATGCGCCATGTCATAAAGCGTGAATCATCACAGACTGGTTTCTTGAGCATGACAATGAGTTTACTGTACTCAAATGTTCTACACAGTCACCAGCTCTCAATCAAATAGAGCACCTTTAGGATGTGGTAGAACGAGAGATTTGCATTATGGATGTGAAGCCGACAAATCTGCAACAACTGTGTGACGCTATAATGTCAATATGAACCAAAATTTAATCTATACCATGATTACAGAAGTTGTGTAGGCAAAACGGGGTCCAACCAGGTACTAGTAAGGTGTACCTAATAAAGTGGCTGGTGAGTGTATGATGCACAAAACATATAATATTTAAAAATAGAAACATTAATCCAAAATGTTTTCAAAAAATGTTGTTCCTTTAGTGCTGTTTTAATTTTATTTATTGCTCTATTAATTATGTTGTTATTATTATTATTATTATTATTATTATTATTATTATTTTATTATTATTATTTTGTTTTGATTTTTTTCATAATTTTAAAATTAAAACACCAATATGAAAACTATGGCCTTGATGTACAGTTATAAACATTAATAATGACATTTGCTATTTATTACATTAAACTGATTCGTTATTGGTGATTTTAACAATTAAGCTTCATTAAGTGATCTTTAGATGATTTTTTTTTGCGTATTTTGAAAATAAAAGTTAAGAATGTTCACAATTACTAGTGAATTGATTGTAAATATCCACTTTTGGTTGACCTGTGTCAAGTGTTTCTAGTCCCATTTTCTTTTCTGTACAATTCGTCCCTTAATCGATATTCTACCAACATGTGGCTCTTCCCTATTGTCATTTCCATACAAAATAGCTAATGTGTGACAAATATTGGCTCATTTTAATTTGTGTCCAACAAAAGCATCTGCATTCGTGACATTTCTGCTCTATTCTGCCCTTTTAGCAGAGGCAACAGTCATTGTCTTCCATGGTATTTAAAGCCAGTTTACAAATTAGATTCCACATATTTGGGGTGTTTTGTGTGTGTGTGTGTGTGTGTGTGTGTGTGTGTGTGTGTGTGTGTGTGTGTGTGTGTGTGTCTGTGTGTGTGTGTGTGTGTGTGTGTGTGTCTGTGTGTGTGTGTGTGTGTGTGTGTGTGTGTGTGTGTGTGTCTGTGTGTCTGTCTGTGTGTCTGTGTGTGTGTGTAACATATTTTGATTGATGTGACTTAGAATAAGGTTCATAAATTGGAATGTTTGCCCTGGTCTAACCAAAAATTGCACCTCTTTGAAAGAGTCCTATAGCAAATTCACAAGTTATGATTTATTGATATTATGTTATGAATCTGGATGCAGAAGTTGTTTTTTTTTTGAGCAGTGGAGTAGACACTAGGTCATCTCTGTTATGACTCTGGGCCTTCTGCCAGGCCTGTAATACTGTCTTATGAAAGCACAGACTGTTACTGCTTTGTGATTCAGCATACAGGGCTCTGCAGCAGTAATGACCCCCTAAATTATTTCATGAATACTTCGTAACGAGACAGACCCAAGCTGCTGCTATAGACAAAAGATACTTAATGTGATGGTGGCATGTGTGTTCCTATATGTAAGGCTGGGACTTAACTAATGGGACTCAAAGTATTTGATAAAGTAGGTTGAAGGAAATGTCATTCATTTGAGTGTTTGCATAAACAGATGGAAGTAAACACTCTTTAGTTATTAATAGCCACTCACTGATAAATAAAATAGTTTTTTTTTACTTTCTCTCTGAGGTTGTGTGACCTTTTAGTTTTATGTCTTCATCTGAATACACACTGGTTAGTATCAAATGTATAATAATTTTTTCTGCATCATGCAATCAGTTTTTTTAACAATATCTGAAACGATACCACATATATTATTGTCAGAATAATTCATAATAACCTTGCTATCCTATATTGTTTCATTCAACAAAGAAACAAATTAATAAATACATATTTTTTGTCAAGATTATATTTAACTTTGGCCCCATTTAAACTTGGTTTTATCATGCGATTGTTACCGTTCACAAGTGGTCAGCTGAGACACTGCCATTTCCACCTGATACTAACATGCTTCTAAATGCATCTCTTGTTCTTGTTTGCTGCTAATTTTATGAAGACCCTTGCCTCTTCTTTCCTCATTCTATACATTCTCTACATCAGGAATTCTCAGGGTGATGCACAAGTATTATTGAATGAACAAACAAACCATGTTAGGCATGTTTACAAGTGTTTGAAAGAAAGAGAATGAAAAGGATGTGGACTGTAACTGTTTTTGATTATTCCCAATGTGTTTCAAGAGTTCACACTTCGCTGATGATTGATAATAAAGCGTGTTTGGCATGCTGTCCAGGGAGAGAGTCTTGAGCTCAGAATATACGTGAGCCTGGGGCTCCCTCCCATTTGAGGACAAGAGGGGAGTTTGAGCTCAGGTACAGTAGGTCTTGAGAACTGCCCTGCTTGTGAGCATGTTGAGATATAAGATTTTCTCTTATGATGCCATTTTGGATTAGTCAATTTACTTATAATGTATGTCTTTGGACGGTGGGAGGAAACCAGTGAAGCAGGGAAAAGCCTACATGAGCACAGGGAGAACATGCAAACTCCGCACAGAATTGCAGACTGGCCCGTTAAGGGCTCGAACCAGTGGCGTTCTTGCTGTGAGGCAACAGTGATAACCACTGGGCCGCCGTGGCCCGTGTCGCCCTGTCAGGAGAAGGGGAGGAGTAGAAGTGGAAGGGGGTTTCTTCAAGACGAAGCTGACTGAAGTGGAAAACTCGTTATTTATAGTGAGTTAGTTTTCATCTGATTGGCTCAATATGTAAAGCTGATGTGGGACCAGCCGTGATCAATCAAAAGCACATGATCCTCTCAAAATTAGTTTATAAATAAACTGCATTTAAATGAATGAATGAATGAATGAATGAATGAATGAATGAATGAATGAATGAATGAATGAATGAATGAATGAGTTTATTTATTTAATAGGGACAATGCACAAAAATTACATTAACCTTAAAGAGGAAAGATGCATGGTGCCAGGTTGTGGCAGGATTGCTATTTTCTACCCGCAGTCCCTGGACAGGTAAAAATTAAAACAAAAAAATATTAAATTAATTAAAGTCAGATTAAAACATACAGGCATCATCATGTATAAACTAAAACACTGAAAAATAAAAAAACACCTCACTCAATGTATGCAAATTTGATTTGACGAAAAAAAAACCTTCTAGTCAGGCGTGAAAACATCTTATAATTTGTACATGTGATAATTTCTGCTGGGAGAGAATTC